AAGGCTTTACCTTAATGATAAGGTAAAGGACCTTGCCTTGAGTTTCTACCCAGATGCAAAATCTTTCAGGTTTATTTAGTCCTGCTGCTAATAAGTTGGTCTAGGGCATTAAGAGCAAACCTCTAAAGGAACATGACTAGCCTCATAATTTTAGCCCTTGCTGCACACAGAGCTTTGGAGTTTGCAGATGCCATCCTGAAACAAATGATCTGTCTTTCCTTGTCGGCTGGTCTCTCAGGCAGCTCCTGTTTCTGCTCCCCATCACAGTTTCTCCCCTCGATTTGTAGTTGTTTCTGTCATCTCCAGAGCCCTTTAATCCAACTCCTAATTTAATGCCATTGCTTGAAGGTCTGCATCTGGTGAGAATCTGTGCGTTAGATTGCAGTTATACAACAGATTGTTCAGTCATGTAACTTTGTGTTTCCTTCTGGTGAAAAAATTATGCCAAAGCTGCTACTACTATAGCATACACTACTGTCGTAAACTGTAGCTTACAATGGAACCAGCTGTGCTGCAGAAAACAGTTACACTACAAGGTCATCTGGGTTGCTGGAACTGATGGGATTGGGAAGTGATGCCTTCTTGCATTTTGATCTGCGCCTCATCGAAGCATAGCTGTGACTTCATGCTGGAGCATCTCTGCAGCTGCCTAGTGGCTATTTGGCTGTGATTAGATCAGCCTCACCCTGCTAGGTGGGTTATTTGCAGGACAGCGCATGTGTTTGTGCACACAGGTGTGGGTATATGCATGTGTAATAATCAGCAGTGGAAAATAACCTAGCTGTGATGGCAGGCTTTCTCTTAGGGTGTCTTTCATGTGGCAGTAATACAGCAGTGAGCATTGAACTTTGGCCTGAGCAAGACATTTTGAAAAAGACTTAGTTTTCTTGGAGCACTATATTTAAATTCCAATTTTTAAATCAATTTCTAACCTTTGTATTTATATGTTCAGAAAATTCTTTTGATACCTTTTCAATTTACCAACACTGAATTAAAACCCTTCAGAATGTATGGCTGGTCCTTCTCCTTATGCGTCACTTTACGTTGCAGAGAGGGGTAGTTGTGCCAAGTCTACCCCTTTGCTTTCAAGATAAAGAACATTGACAATTCATGGGTGGCAGCTAAGGAAGAAACCCTTTAAATATGTTTTTTTTCAGAGAATATTAAATTAGATCTGTGTAAACATGAAATTTATATTTATTAATGTGTGTGTGAGTGTGTGTGTCTGTATAGATATATAAATGGTCCATGACTATTTCTTTCTCTTCAATGGTACTTTACACAGACTTTTATACAGTGTGTTGGTAAAATCCTGCACCAGGCACTGATTCTAAAAGAAAAACGTACCTATTTTTGTAATGAATATGAGCAGCCAGAAGAAGCAGCTTCACTTCAGTGGCTGCTCTCATTCCTGTCACAGAGCAGAAGAGATGACTTGGTACTTGCATCTTCCTTGTGTAGGAGCCCTGCTTCTGGCTTTGTCATGCTTGCAGCAACCCCACCCCATGCTGCTCATCTGGCAAGAAAATGTCCCAAATGGCGCTAATGAAAGCTGGAATCCTTTCCTGTCTCAAATTAATCTCTTTACAGATTCTGCTCTGTAAGTAAGGGGACCTTATTTCTAACAGAGGAATTGAGTGGAGGGTCTGTGAGGATGCTGTAAGGTTGAGGAATTCCTCCCGGTCAGGTGGCTAAGCTAACACTGGGGCACTGTGAAGTGTCTCCTCTGTTCTTTTATGATGCTCCTATCTCTTCACAGGGTGTGAGATGTGTGTATAGCCCCTTAAAACAAATGCATAAGAGTTTTTCTAATGTTCCCATTCACCTGAATGTCCAAATTTGAGCTATGGCTTAACTCCATGAGGATCACTAAATTCACAAGTGTGTGTTTTGACCCACTTGGAATTACTTTTAAAAGCAGGTGATACTTCGCTTCCTAATCCTGATTGCTCTTCCAGAACCAGAAATCCTTTCTCTAAGGACCTGAATGAATGCTTCGCCTCAGTGCTTACTATCTGGTGACCGGGCTCTGGTACTAGAGGGGAAGACAGGATTTGGTGGTAAGAAGAGTAATCGGAGCAGTGAAAGGAAACAGCTTTTCTCCTCAGCAGAAAACAGCCCATGTTAAAACCACACTTCCTCTAGTATCTGGTTACTGCTTTGTGTCTGCTGCTGAGTTAAGCAATGCACCTCTGCTGTGATCTCAGCCTTTCAGTCCTGCTTCTACCCCACCTCAGTTTCACTTAAAGCAGTCTGAAACAGAGCCTGCCTTAAAGCTAAGGGCAACGTTGAGGGGAAATATTCTGCTAGCTGAAAGAAATATGAGATTTAAATGGAGCAGAAAAAGTGAGATTCCCTTCTGTTTCACTGCCTTGCTGCTAAAAGTCTGGTGCAAAACATTCTAATGTTCTGATTTATATGCCATTCTTTGGAGGTGGGCAGGCTGCTAGGTAGGCAGAGTGGCTCTATAGCAAATGAAATTACTGTAAACTTAAACTTGCTTTATTTCTCTCCTGAATGGGCTTGAAGTAAAGAGAACCAGAGTATTGTTTGTAAGATCTTTTGCTTTAATGGAAAAGAAACTGGAGAATATGTATGTATATATATATATAAATCTCATTCAAACATACTGACACAGAAAATGGAATGGCTTTAAAATGCAGAAATCTGACAAGACATTGTCTTGGGTTCTGGCCATTTGTAGAGCAATGGGACTGGCCTTGTCCAGCCTGCCAGCCAACCTCCACATAGCCAAAAAGAGCTTTCAAGAGTCTGTAGCTATCCAAAGGACTGTTTTCAATAAGACTGTTAAAAACTGCTTTAGGGGTAAATCACGAGTTGTATGTGAGCAGTGGATGGTAAAGGTGGAAATTCAGATCCAACTCTGAATATTTGCTTAGATAAATCAGAAGAACCTGAAATCCCCCTGTTCTGCAGATAACACATTCCCACCGAGTCCTTAGGGGACGGCTGCACCCTGAAATACCTGAGGACCTGAAATACCTCAGTGGCTTCACAGAAGCATTTTGTAACAGAGAGCTGGAGGGAGCCTTGCCCCTTTCACCTTGGTTTGGCACTTAAAGACAGGGAATGGATGGGGGGACTAAAGCCACGCTTGCATTTCAGTTCCTGGTGTTGCCTGCCAAGGCACCTCCAGCCAGATGTTACGGGGTTTGCGGGGTTCTTTTTTCTTACAGCTCATATCAAGGTCATATCAAGGGTATTTTTATGTGACTTTTCGTTATCAGTGCTTTTCACAAAGCAGGTGTGTATCCCAAGGGGGAAAGCTCCATCTGGGGCAGTGGATGTGAAGTTCATCATGATCTGGCCATGTTGCAGCGCTGCTCCTGTGAGATGCTTAACTGCACAGGCAGACTGTGGCTCCCACAAGGGCTGGGAGAGCATCCTGGTCGTGCCAAGGAGGCTGCTGCTCATCAGAGGAGACGGTAAATACAAGCATCCAAGGAGCAGGACCTGCATTTCCACATCGGATGGGATACAAGTGGTTTTGTCTGGTTTTGATATGGAGCCATACTTCGGGGTTTTTTTAAGTAATTTGAGATCTGAATGTGATTTCTAATGTATCAAGAACGTTAATATTTTAAAGCTATAACAAAGTTTTAAATTTCTACTATTTTTGTTTTTCACTTGTTTTAACTGTTCTGTTACCTTCATTTGATGTATGTGGTTGGGGAATGTTGCTTCTCCTCTTAGCATTTGTTTCTATAACCAGAAATAAAATTATATATGAAAGAGAAAATGCCCTGAAATTCCTGGCTGCTTTTGAGTGACAGACCTGCATCCTTCCAGCACAGTATCATAAGGGGGTTAGGACTGCGGCACCAGCCTGTGTTGTACCTACCCCTTCCACTATGTGTTTCAGTGTTTTTCTTGTCCTTTTATTATTCTCATTAAACGCTTTAGGAAGTGTATGATTGGACACCTTGCATTGGTTTAGAACTCATGGATACTCTGATCCCTTGTTGGTTTGGGGGGAAGCTGTTAACTCGTGGAAGAGGGAACTTAAGTACCAGTGTGTGCTTGAGATCCATAATGCTTCCCTTGGGGATTATAAATGATTCCTGCAGTTCTAGCTTTCATTTTGTCATGAAGTGAAAGGCTGTTATTTTGAAAGATAAACTATTTCAGTGTGGTTCCCTGTAGTTTATAAAGATCGTTTCACCTAAGCATATATGGTCAGAAGGTAGTTCTTTACCTATGTTATTATACCTAGGTTTTCCCTCCGATAATAGAGCTACTATTTAAGTGCAGGGTTTATTTTGATCAAACAAGTCTTTCTGAGTTTTGAAATGGAGTAACTTTTAAGACCTCAGTTGACACAAAGTAGCTGTATTTGACTAAATAACGTTTAATACAGTTAGACACAGTGTAGCAGACTTAATGCTAGGCCAGCATCAGGCAGGGAAGTGCCAGAAGGCAAAGTGCCAAGCTCCCTCCTGTGACATCTCCCTGCAGGGTGATGCACAGCTCAGTGGTCAGAGCTTCACCCTTATTGGCAGTCAGGAGCAGACATAGTTCTAATTGGGGGAATATTAACGTCTTTTTAAGCTTTTGGAAGCTGGAGACCACCTGCTGAGCAGCTGTGTTAACATCTCCAGCCCTTTTGGGAAGCATCATATTTTAAAGGGGTTGTTAAGAACGGTTAATATGGCCCTTTTTATCATCATGCTCTTACAAACCCAAACTCTGCCCTATCTCTGCCATGAAGCGATGGTTCCCATGGGTCTGAGTCCTGAGAACTGATCTCTTTCACGCCGTGCGGGACAGCCTTGGGCTCCTAAAGGAGAGAATAACAGCAGCAGCATGTCAGAACAATCAATGAACAGCCCCCAGGGAGGACTTTCCCATTACCCCTTCTTCCCTCTTCTTGGCGGGCAGGATCCAATCCTCTTTCCCCAGGGCTATCGCCAGCCACGCTCCACCCCTACCGGAACCTTCGCCAACGGAACCTTTGTGCAGCAGCGGCCGCATCCCCCCCCGGAGCCGTCCTGGGTGGACCGCCCGCCCCTGGGGGAACGCTTTGGCCGCGTACCGAGGCGGTAGGAGCTGCGGACCGTCCGGCATGTTCACGGCGGCGGCCGAGAGCTTCCTCAAGCAGGCGAGGTACCGGGAGGGGTGCTGAGGTACCGGGAGGGTGCTGAGGGTACCCTGGGTGGTGCTGAGGGTACCGGGAGGGTGCTGAGGGTACCGGGGGTGGTGCTGAGGGTACCGGGGGTGGTGGTGAGGGTACCGGGAGGGGTGCTGAGGTACCGGGAGGGTGCTGAGGGTACCGGGAGGGTGCTGAGGTACCGGGAGGGTGCTGAGGTACCGGGAGGGGGGTGCTGAGGTACCGGCAGGGTGCTGAGGGTACCGGGGGTGGTGCTGAGGGTACCGGGAGGGTGCTGAGGTACCGGGATGGTGCTGTACCGGCGGGGTGCGAGTTACCGGAGGGTGCTCATAGCTCAGGAGGTGCTGAGGTACCGGGGGAGGCCGCAGAGCTCCCTTGGGGCGGGCCGAGGTCCTGCCTGAGGTGCCGGGGCTGGGGTCGGGGTCAGGGTCACCCCGGGGGCGGAGGGCTGCGAGGTTTCCAATGGAGACCAGGAGCTGACCGGTGTCCCTATGGGCGCTGCCCCCGCCAGGGAGATCCAGGAGGAAGAGCTGCGGAGATTCGCCTCCCGCGTCGCCGCCCTGCTGCAGGGCCCGGAGCCGGGCGCGGAGGCCGCAGACTGCCTGCAGAGGCTGCACCTCACCGTCGCCGCCACCAAGTACCCCCGCAAGTGAGTGGCTTGTGCCTCGTTTGCTTGTGCCTCGTTTGATGCTCGCAAGAAGCAGCGCGTTGCTTCATTGACAGAAGCAAAGGGAGGGGGGAGCTTAGTGCTTTAAAACATCACCTTGTTTGGAAAACACTGAGTTCCACATCAACGTAGAGCCCTTCACTGGCTTTTTTTCCCCCATTGCTAAGCAGAAGCTGCCTCCTTTTGAGTTCACGTCACTAAGCTGTGCTAAGGAACAAAATGCAGGAGATCATCCCAAGACCATGGATATGAAGGAATTAAGCATCTGAATCTTGCCTTGCAGTGATGCTTTACTGTGTTCCTCTTGCAGGCTAGATGGCAAGTTTGTGGAACTGTTGCAGACAGTGCTGTGTTCATCCAAGAGCCCTGCGCAGATCCAGGTGTTATGTGCTGCCATCCTGAGAGAGATGTCGCCTTGCAATGAGCTGATCCTGTCCTGTGATAAGATTCAAGATGCAAAGCTCCTGAGCCTGGTATCCTCTGTCCTTTTGGCGCAGGTAAATGACCTGCAAAGGCAGAAATCTTCCTTTGTCAATAGGGACTTGCTTTCTGATTGTTCCCTGTTTGCTGAGTTCAAAGAGAGTGAAAAATTAATTGGAAGTGTCTAGGAAAAAAGCAGAAGCATTTCCATGTTTATTTAAGAAAAAAAACCTAATTGTTCTGCTTTGCACAGGAAAAAATGGCAAATTTTTGCATTTAGTATTTGATAACAAAGACTAAAAATTGTGGTGTGTAGAGACTGGGGACCTCAGGCAGGCTTGTAACTAACTGGAAGCAAAAAGGACCTCTTTAATGCTAGCTGCTATAGTAGACTTCAAGTCAGAGCTGCTTGAACCTGTAGAGCAAAAGATTTGAGAGTGAATTTATGATTTCTGCTTTTCATGGTGCTGGCTTTCATGTTCAAAGGTAAAAATATATACATAGAACCTATAAAACACGGAGGGCTATAAATGTGGATGGCACTTCAAAGATCTAGATTCAACATGGGGAAGAAGACATGAGGACCTTCCTGTTTTGAGTGCTGCCTGCACTGACTGCCCTCTGGGGAATAAGCTGGAAACTTTTCTACTTCTTCTTTTACTATTATTGTGCCTATTAAAGGTAAAATATTTTTCTGCACCTTCTCATTCTGAGCTTCACTGTGTGCCAGAAGTGCCTCCTATGTTTCAGATTGCTTCTCTGAGTCTTACTTAGCTGGAGGAAATGAAAACATAGGAACAGAAAACAGAGACATATTACCTATGTGCTGCCTTACAAAGCACCTCTCTCCCATATCCAGCCTTGAGACTGTCCTGCAGTGTAAAAGCATACCCTGGCTCTTAGTTTTTGTTAGATTACAGCTGAAACCATGAAAGGCTTTTCATCAGTTTTTGATGTTACTAAAGCTTACTGTATTTTAGCCATTTCAGTGTCACTTCTCTAACATGGGCTGTAATGAGCAGCAGCATCATTCATGAAAGCAGCCCCAGTTCAGCCCCACTTCAAAAACATCTGCATGTTTTCATTTGTCGCTGCTTTGGGTGGAAATCATCCTCCTTGTCTTTGCTCCCTCTGCCTTTTGGCTCTGCAAAGCTCATGTTCTTTTTGTAAAGCTTTTGGCTTTCCGCAGAACACAGCCTCTACTATTTATAGCCACGGCTATAACAGCCTCTAAAAGAGGAAGCTGCTTTATTTTCCACATTGTGAGGCTATGGACTAATCAGAGAGTCCTAGGGCATGATCAAACAGCCAATTTTCTATTCATAAATCTCTAATTTAACATCTGAACCAGCAAACTGACCATGTGGGGAGTAGTTAGTGCTAGAACTGCTCTAGAATTAATGGATCATAGTGTTCAAATTCAAGACATCCATTGCAGTTGTTTATTTCCACTTAAAGTGGTGGTTGTCCAGAAACCTATTGTTCCATCAAAATACTCTCCCCTCATGGAAATTGTGAATTCACATTGCAGAAATGTGGTAGAGTAGCCTGTGCTGCGAGTTCTGTTGGTGTTTGACATTGGTACTGATGCCTGATGGAAGAGTTTGTATGGCACTGGTTTCTAGCAGTAGTAGATGATCTGCCTAGCTTCACCTCTGCTTTATTTTTAAGGGAAACAAGAAGGCTGTGTCTGCTGTGGGGCAGCATGTTGTAAAAGTCCTCGAAGGAAGACTGCCTGAGGGTCAGAGTGCACGGTACCTTCTTCCTGTCCTGTCAAATGTGGTCAGTCTTTCACCACAATCCCTAACTGAAGGTAAATATATATGAGGGTCTGAGATGAGCATCTGGCTGTGACCTATATAGTGATTAGAAGGCTCACTGAAGTGCTTGGCTGGGAGTAGGACTTAAAAACTGCTGTTAAAGTGACATCTCTGCCACAAGGAAAGTGAACTTATTGGGCAAGATATATTTTACCACTCAAAAATGGGACTGGGCCTTCAGCTGCTTTGGCCCCTTCTGGGGACCAGAGTTTCTGTTCTGCCTGGATTTGTGTCATGGTAACAGGTACCCTAGGTATGGTCTCCAGATGCAGTAGGAGTGTGAAATTGTAGCTATACTGAAGCAACGTAAGAGATAGAAGCAGATGTGCCTGCGGTCTGTTTGAGAGAGCAGCAAAAACAACTAGGTGTACTCTCTGTAAGAGAGGCAGGACTGTACGGGTAGTGATGGGCAATATGCCCTAGTGAGTAAGCCATAGGAGAGCATTCCAGGTGTAAAATGGTGAGGAATTGCGTTGAGCAAGAGTCTGTTTCTGGAAGTTTCTTGTGAGATTTTTGTATGTCCTGCAGTATGCAGGGGCAGTTCTGGGGAGGATGCTGGGCCAGAGGGTATGGGCTGTCTGAGCAGGCAGGATCACCTGCCTCAGCTCCTGTGTGTTCTCTGTGAGGGATTTATGCCTCTGTCTGCTGAGCTGAAGCCAGCCACTGCCTGAATAGATTTGACAGTATTTTTGCACCTTCCTCCTAATAGCATGTGGATGGAGACAAAGGAACAAGTGCCTCTCGACTCTTCTGGTACTAGAAGTCCTTGATTCTAGTGCTCACTCCTTGACTTTTTGTCTGAGGAAACGGGCAAGACAATAATGAGACTGACCCAACGGCTAGGAGCTAGGAAAGGACACAGGGCTCTGAAATGAGTGCGGGTGATACTGAAGTAGTATGAGGAGGACTACAGGGCATCCACCTTGAGGTACCAGTTTCTTTGCTGTGACAGAGAGATGGTGGTCTAGGCTAGAGGAAAAGCACAGCAGTTGAGGGGTGGCAGAGGCTGCTTCTCTGCCTGATGTAGCAATGACCCTGTGACTTGCCTTGTACAGAGCAGACCAACGTAGTCAGTAAAAAGATGGCAGACTGGCTGAGGCATGCAAGTATTCAGCAAGGAGTCACTCAGTCCTCTGGAGGCTTCTTCAGTCCCAGAAGCAGGCAGGTAAGTGATCATCTCACAGGGGCATTTGTTACTTGCATGCTGTTTCGGGTTCCCAAAATCAGCTTCTTTTGGGAAATGATAACTTAGAAATGCCAAGACACAAGGGAAAACCAAGTAGAGGGATTTGTAGCTCCAAGATTTAGGAGCTCTGCTGCAGAACCAGAGCTTTGATCCCTGAAGTAGTTTTAAGGCAAAGTCTTTTAGTGACCATTAATTTGGAATAAAAGCTGATTGCAAAGGAGGCCTGTGTCAGAGAGAGGGGGAGAGTTTGAAGTGTTTCAGCTCAGGGAAGGATCCAGCAGAGCTGGCTTTTCTCTGCAAGACCCTATAGTACATATAAATGGGATCCTTATCTCCATGGGCTCAGTGGAGTTCTCCCTCCCTTCTCTCTTAGCCTCTCCCTGGGCATCTGACCTGCTGAATGTTTTCTCACAGCCTGGTCCTGTCACAGAGGTGGATGGTGCCGTTGCCACAGACTTCTTCACAGTGCTCTCAGTGGGTCAGTGCTACACACAGGACCAGTGGCTCAACATGCAAGCCTTCTCCATGCTGCGGAAGTGGCTGCTGTGCTATGGGGACAAGGAGTTGAAAACCCCTAGTTCAGGTACGAGCTGAAGGGCTGTGGGCCAGTCTGGGTTGCACCCTCAAGAAGGGTGTGTGCTCTGTGATGATGAGGTGGTTGCACCAGCAACCCAGCAAGTGGTAGGAATAGGGGTAAGAGTTAAGAGTTCATGGACTAGGAACAGGGAAACTTTGGGGAGAAATATCACAAAACCTCCTTACTGACCCTTCATGAGGAATTACTTGTTCAATGAATCCCCTAGTTTCAGACAAAGCTCCGTGGGTCCCTGAGAAAAAAAAAGGCCTGGGTGGTGGGAGACAGCATCTCCTTAGAGTTCTTGTAACACTTCCTTCTTCCCCAGTCTCCTTTTCTTCAGAGTGCACCTGAGGACTGAGAGCAACCTTGCTGTTAGTGAGCAACTGTGTGGGTTACATTGCCCAGGACATGAGCTGATAGATGGTAACCTTGATTCTGTAGATGACAAATCAGGAATGGACAGCTCTGTTATGTCTGTGGTCTCTGCTACATCCACACCTGGTCTCCTGCTTCCCCCAAAGGAGCATCTGCGGGAGAAAGCCTTTGAGTACTGCCAGCGGCTGATTGAGCAGAGCAACCGGCGTGAGTCTTGTCATGAACCCTCCTTGGAGTTCTCTTGGGAGTATTCCTGAAAGTGTTTCTGATTCACTGCCTCTCCAGGCTGGGATCTCACACCCTAGACTCCATAATCAGGTTGTAGGCATAGGACCTGTTGCAGTTGCTGGTGGAAGTCATTGACCAGCCCTGACCTGGGGCGTTGGGAGGGATTTGGAGGCAATGGCCGTGTTCTGCCTCCCACCCTTGGTTTGCAGGGCAAGCTGTGGAACCTGGTTCTCGTTAGGCTGGAATTGGGATTAGTATGTGTTCCCAGCTGTCCTAAAATCTGTGTTAGTGCTCAAAGTGACAACCTACTGTCCCTGTTTGGACTCAAAGTTTAACTTGGACTTCTTTCTCTGGCAGGTCCCCTGAAGAAAAATGATGGAGACCTACAGAAAGCTGTAAGTACACAGAGGTGGGGCTGAAGCTCTGGGAGTTTTGGCTTCTCCCACTCTGATGTGACTCTGTGTTCTCCTGTAGTGTCTCATTGAGGCAGTGACAATCATGGACATCATCTGCAAACAGGACTCCTCCTACGTGCACCACGCAGTCTCCTTCCTGAAAACCTTGCATGGCAGAATCTGTGGGGATGCCTCTTACGCAAGAGCACTACTGCCCATTGCCCAGTTCTTCCTGAACCACAGTAAGTCATCAGCTCTCACCCCCTCCTCCATGATCTACTTTTGCATACTCTTAGCACAGCCTTTTCTTCTGGCAGTTTGCTGGCTGCTAGAGTTGGTAATTCAGCCTTGGCTGCGCTCTGGGATGGATGATCCCACTCCAGGAGACCCAGGACATGGGGTGACTGTACCTTTTGTTGGCCAGGCTGCTGCGTCAGCTGTGCTCGGTAATGTGCTGTGTTCTCCTAGGTGAAACAGCAGCTGTGGACTCTGATGCAATCTACAAACACCTATTCACTGACATCCCAGCTCAGCATTTCCACAACCCATCACTGGCCTTTGAATTTGTCCAGTTCTGCAAAGACAACAGCCAGCTCTTCACTGAGACCTCCAGCATATTCAAGCAGAGCTTCCCAAATCTCTTTAAGGTACAGCTTGCTAGAGCAGCACAGGAGAGAGCCTGTTGCATGTGCCTCCATGGCAGTGCTAGGGAGAGAACACACAACGACTGTTATAAAAGTAAGCATGAGTTTGAAGAGGAAAGAGGGTTCTGGGTGTGATTAGCACTGCCAGCAGAGGAGTCTGTGTTAGGATTACTGCCTGTGGGTTGGAAAGCGGTAAACACAGTTAAGACACAGCACTTTGTTTCTGGAAAACTTTAATAAGTTGCAGCTTGCCAGCCACTGAAGCAGCTGCCAGATGTCTGTGTTGAGCTTCCAGCAGCCCCCAGGTCTTGCCCAAACCCTCAGACTTCTCTGGTTTTGCTTTTAAGAAGTGACTTTCCCTTCCCTGTCTCTTTCAGTCACAGTGTGAGAATCATCTGGGTGTGTGGTGGGGTAGGACTGATAATGCAGCAGTTTGTGCTTGTTCCTTGCAGTTCCTGGCGTGGAACAGCCCACCCCTCATCTCAGAGTTTGTGGACCTTCTCCCAGTTCTGCTGGATTCAGGCACAGCCGTTGAGGTCTTCCATTTGCTACTTGACCTGCCCTGTTTGACAGCAGCTCTGGACATCCAGCTGAGGTAATGCTACCTTCTGTTCCTCTCACTTGCTAATCAGGGTATTGGTGGTGACCATAGCCTAGTATGTTTCTGTGAGTCTCAACTGCCCTCTGGCTGCTGCTGTCACAGAATGAGAGGCATCTGCTACAGTCAGGTTAACACAAAGCTGCAGCCTGATTTTCCTAGTAATGTGCTGTGCATGGGAAGAGAAGGTGACCAGCTCTTGCACTTCAGTACATTTCCCTCTCCATATCTAGTTCCAAACAGTTGCCACGTGAGAGTGTCTGCAACCTCAATACAGAGGTGTTGGCTACCTGGTCTTTCCTCTCTGCTCATACCCCTCTTTTCTGGCTTTCATCTCCTGGAGGCATACAGAGGTTTCTTCCTGAGGAGGAATTATTAGGAACTTTGAGTCTCCAGGAAGGTGGGATAGCACTGGAACTGGCTCTTACTGGAGTGCTTAGAAAAGGGACTCATCCTAGAGGCAAGAGGTTGTTGGGTTTTGATGAGTGAGGGAAACAGAGCATCATTTTCCCCTTTCCCAGGAGTGATACAGAAGCAATTCTGGAGCTATTGTCTGAGCTTATAATGCTCTGTCATCTAGGTTCTCTGGCCTCCAGAAGGCCTGGGGAAGACCAGCTTGCTGTCCCTGTTTTAGTGGAAAGGGAATTACTCCATTCTACAGGATTCCAGCTGTGCCCTGTGCCTATTCTCATAATGCAGCACATTCTTTGTGTTGACCTCCTGCTAGGTCAACTGCTCTTCCTACCTCCAAGAGGGCTGCCAGCAACCCAGCTGTGAAGCCAGCCACCTGTATGGAAGCCTTTCGCCATCCCCTCTACAAAAGCATGTTCCAGTATCTTCTCCGCACCAGTTCTACTCCTGAAGATGCCCCAGAGAGGTGGGACACTGCTGTAGGAGACTGCCACAAGGGTTTGGTTCGGCCATCCTGCTCTTGGAAGCAGCACTGGGATTGATGGGAAGTCGTAGCTGGGGTGAGATGGATTTGGTCTTCCCTGTGTTATCTTTGCCAAGTGCTGAAAGGCCTTGTTATGGGGTTGGAGGAGGGCAGCCAGGAGAGTAGCTGGGAACAAGCTTCAGCAGTAACTCTACTCTTGCCCACAGGCTGATTCCACTTCGGCAGCTGTTGGGATCCCTGGCCAGCAGCCCAAGGGTCGTGCAGTGTTCAGAGACTGTCCCTGTCTTACTAGAGCTCTTTTTCAGGGTGGTGGCAGAGGTAAGCCCTTTTGGGGGAGTTTGGTTCCTTGTCATGCTGGGATCTTTCATTACCTGAAGAACAGTCATAGAAGCAAAATTGTTAAGACACTGCAGCTTCAAGAGAGGGTATATATGGGGGGAGTGGGATGGTAATAGTGGCATGAACCACCCCTGAGCTGGCTACTACTTCATCCAGAGCAGCAGAAAAGATACATGTTCTCTCAGTCAGCTGAAAAAGAGGTGGGTGAGAGCAGAATGAGTGCCTGGTACTGGCTTTGTGCACTGCTCCTGTCCTGCTAGATGGGGCCGTTTCTGTGCTGGCTGTCTTATCTGGCTGGTTAGTTTGGGTTTTGGCTGCTGGAAGTCACTGGTGTTGCTGAAACAAGGCTGTTTGTCAGTTTGCAGATGGTCCACTGATAAACCAGCTGGTGGTGCTGCTGCTGCAGAGGAGTGACCAGCTCTATGAGATCCCAGCATTTAAAGATGAGGTGTTCAGGTGAGATGGGACACTAGGCCCAGCCAAGCTCCCAACCCTTTCACTGCCTGCAGCCTGCCAGCCCAGGAGCCTTTTCAGTTGTGGTCCAGTCCCTGCTGTGACAGAGTGTGCAGACACTGCACCAGGGGCTGGTATTGCCAGCACCTCCTTGGTTTGGTGATGACCACCTTGCCTCTTGCCTGAGCTCTGCCCATCTCCCTTCTCCAGGGTGCTGAGCTCGCAGCTGGTGGTGCTCTGCAATATGCACCCTGCAGTCATCGTGGAAGCATCCACGGAGATCCTGGAGTTCTCGGGAATGGCCAGCAATGCCCAGAACAAGGGGGCCATCTTCACCCAGATGGTAAGCAGGGCCTGCCTGCTGCTGGCACAGGTTGCTCCAAACTGCAGTGTGATCTGTTGATCACCTTCCCTTTCCTCCTCTCCTCTGTCCTAGGATTAGTTAATCTGATTTGCTTTGATTCCCTTTCCTTCTTGCCCTGAACACATCTGCCTTTGCTTCAGGTCTGGGCTATTGGAGAGTACATGTCTGTGTCCTACGACAAGCGCTGCACTGTGGAGCAGATCAACGAGTTCTTTGAAACTCTAGAGGTTGTGCTCTTTGAAATCACCCAGCTCCGACCACTGGCCAGCATCCCCCACTATGCACCCAGCACCATCAGTGCCCTTATGGCCACCTTGACCAAGTTGGCAGCTCGCAGCCAGGACTTGATCCCCAGGTGAGGAAGGATGGCAGGAAGGGCTAAGGGCTCAAACACGCAGACATCATGGGTCCAAACACAGATGTTTGCTAGTGTTAAATAATCAAGCTTGGCAGCTGATGGAAACTGAAACAGGGTAGAGGAAGCAGGCTGTGGGGAGCACAGTTTGTTTTCCTCTGCTGACTGAGGCTCCGTGCCTCAGGAGGAGGGGTTTGGTAGCATCTAGTGTTCATCTGCAACAGTCCTTTGGAGTACACAGGTTTAAGTAGTGACCTTACTGGGTGCGAAGGTCCTGCCAGCTGATGTCTGTGTCCTTCCCTCCTGCAGAGTGTCCATGTTCCTGTCCAAGATGAGGACGTTTGTGCAGAGCCCGGCTGTCACCTCTGTTTACTGCGAGGCAGACCTTGAGGAGCTCCAAATGCAGGCAACTGAGCTCAGTAACCTCCTGAAAATGCCAGACGTGGCTCAGTTTGTGCTCACTCCACCTGCAGGTGTGGGCAGCACAGGGTTTCAGAGAGAGGTGAATGACTCCCTCCCTTTTGCCCTCAGGATAGTCACCCATCTCCTAGAGCCGGCTCCTGGCTGCATGCCACGGTGAGGGCATGAGGTTACTGAGAGGCTCCAGCCTCTGTTGCAGCTCACTGGACACTGTTGATGCTAAGGCTGAGGCCCTGCTCTTCAGTGGAAATGAGGAACAAATGATTGTGAATGAAAACAGAAAACAGAAAACAGGAATAAGTAGAGCTGAGGTTGCTCTTCTGGTCTAAGGCTGTTTGTGTTTCTGTCTCCTAACACTGGTTGCGTTTCTGTTGCCTAAGTTAGTTTTATCTCTCTCTGGCAGTAAAGATTGAAAATCCCAGTGGATCTGTGTGAATGTGACAGGAGAGCAAATGCATGCATTAATGCCCTGCCAGCACACCATGCCCCTGTGGAGACATACTTCATCTTCGCTCCCCACCTCTGACTTGTTTCTCCCTCCCTTTTGCCCTCGTTACCCCCTGGCTATGCATGTGCTTCCTTTATTGCCTCTCTGCATGCAGCCAAGCAAAGGCCTGTGCAAGGTGGAGAAAGCAGAAGTGACTCCTTTAAGTGTTGTAAGCCCTCGCTGCTCTTCTGCCTTACCTTCAGAGTGAACATGTTGAGATCCAAGAGCCAGCTACCAGACCAGAGCTTAGAGAGATTTATTGATCCAGTTTATTGTTGACACCAAGAGCATTTCTTAGCATACATCACCCCCGTGTCAAACAGGCGCCATGCTGTGTTCTGTATCTTCACCAGAAGTTTATACACATTTGAGCTGTACAGTATTAACAAATAGGGGAAGTAAATGCATCCCACTGCTCCTCCCAGGAGAAGCAAGCCCTCATGCACGCTAGTATATTAGCAGGGTTTATTTACAGTCTGTTTCAATGCCTGACTGCACTGTGAGCAACACGCAGCTCTGGGGCTGATTCCCACCTCCAGGGATGCCTGGAGTCAGGCTTGGTGGGGAGCAGAGGGTTGCATTGGTACCACTGGAACTTGCCAGGGTGCAGCCCTAGTACTGTCTAGTGCAAACTGAGCCTCCCCCAAAGCCCTGGCTCCGGGGCAGAGGGGAGTGAGGAGTGCATGCAGCTTGCCCAAGGGCCCTGGCAGCCTATTTCTTGCCCTGCAAACCTGCTGAGCTCCTTGGAGGATGAGTGGCCGACATACTTGCATGATACACTGGAGTGAATCACCATGAGCACTGTGAGGCCCTGAGCCTTTGCCTGCCTGCCTGCCTGGTACAGCCAAGTCAGTGGCGGGAGAGATGCATTGCTCCCAGTCCCTGCTGGGGCAGCACCCCAGGCTGGTTGGCATGAGCACGGCCTAGCAGCAAAGCAAGGCACTAGTGTCTCAGTGAAAGTGCTTAGTCCGTTGTGCCCTGGAAAAGGCAGGCCAGGCTGGGTAGAAATCCAGTACTGGAGTACTTCTCCTGTGTAGATTATTTTGACATCCCTCCTGCAAAGTGCAAGACTAAGCCCAGAAACCAAAACTACAGCAGTGAGGTTTAATTAAGGCCAACCCTGTTGAACATCCCTTTTTTAGCATCACAGTCCTCAGAGCACTGTTGTTGTGAGATGCTGTGTGAATATCTGGTTTGCTTCCAGAGCTAAACCGTGCTGGTTTAAGTGCAGAGTGTGATGCAGGGCTCTGTGGCAGGCTGTTCTAATAGGGTTTGGCTAAACTAGGTCTCGGTATCAGTCTATATGTGGAAATGAGGTCAGGTTTATCCTGTGAATGGTGTTAAAAACACAGAGAGGACTTGGCAGGCAAGAGGCAGCCACACGGTGGAGCTGCCACCTCGGCTCTGCTGACACCACTGCTGGAGCAACTACCAGCTCCTTTGGGATGTTCAAGACTGACCTTCCAAAGGGGAGCTCCTGCTGCCCATCAGCACCCATCAGCACGCACTTCTGAGATGCTCTGAGCTGGGCAGGAAACAGGGTGGCCTTACAATGGCCTTGCAAAGCTGGAGGGACACCAGGACATGGTGTCAAGACGTCATTTGTCCGCCTGGACTAGTGTCAGGATGCTGCTGGGCTCACTCAGGTTCCTGGTGGCCTTGGACAGGGCAACAGCTTCTGTGTGGGCAAAGTCTCTGCTGGGTTAGTCCTAGGCTCCTTCTGCCAGGATCATGGTGCCAGAGCCAGGCAGTACATCTGCTGCATGAGCAAGGGCAAGAGCATCTTCTTCAGGGGCTCTCCCCAGGGCTCACAGGGAACTGCTGGTGGTGTCAGCCCTTTGCTGTAGCTGCTTCCCATCCCAAAGCAGGCCTGGGGGCAGTGTGGTTATAGCCAAGCAGCAGAAAGGCACCTGACATAGGACATGGCACCAGGGAACTTGATCTTCTAGCAATGCATCCCACTTCGAATCCTGCTTCTGGATGCTTATGCTGCTTTACCATTCTCAAAGCTGGGCACCCTTTTCCAGCCTGCTATGCCAGCACCTCCAGTGGTCACTGCCACAGGCAAAACCCAGGCCTGCCCCACATGCCAACCTTTAAATCCCAAAGGTGTTTCAAGCCTTCCACCTGCCAGCATGGAGAAATCACGCAGGGCTGCCAGCCTAGAGGAATGGAGGAGCTGTGAAGGGAGCATCCCCTTCCTGCCCCCTGCCAGAGGGGACAAAGGACCAGGCAAGCTCCTGAGAAGGTTGATACATAGTACAAGGTGAAGCTGGGCAAGAGATCAGGAATAATGCTCCCAGTAAGTGCACTGGGAGCAGCGTGCACCTCCCTTGCTTGTCCTTTCATCCGCTGCAGTGCAGGGGTGAGGTGTCGATAAGCAAATCAAGGGCGGTTGTGGAGTCCCGGTCCTCCCTTTTGCACTCCAGGCTCCCCAGGGTCAGCCTGAACCAGAGCTGCACCCACAAGCTGCTGCAGAAGGACCCTCGTGCCACAGGGACTAGGAGGAAGATGAGCTGGAACTGATTTTTTTGGCTATTTCCATGTCCGACTTGGCAACCAGGAACCGCAGCTTCTTCCCTCCGGAGCGGATGAGGTCCACGGCACTGCAGAGAGCAGCAACAGGGAGAGGGGTGAGTTCTGGCTCCCTGCAGCTTGCCAGGAGCCTGCCAGGTCATGGACATGTACAACATCCCCCCCCCCCCCCCATTTGCAAAACACCTGCACCCTCTGCTCTGTGCCTGCTCAGTGTCACAGGCAGGGTCTGTTTCTCTTCACAGAGAGCCTGGTCTCCACGCCAGTGCTGCCAGGGTAAGGACAAACAAGCCCTGAGGTGTTCTGCCCCACGGGCTCTGCAGGGTGCAAGCTGTCCCATCCCACCACCTTTGAGAGGAACCGTGGGGTGGGCTGGGGTTAGAGCAGCAGTGCATTGCTGAGAACCATCTCTGGAGCAGTTGTTGCTCCCTGATCCCTCTTCCAAATCCCCAGAAAACTGCCTTTCCCTATTTCCAGTGTCCTGGGTAGTTTTTTCCTCTCTCTGCAGCTTGCTTTTACTGCAGCATCCTCTGCATTATTGACTGTACCAGGGACTTGGAGACCCCTGTGCAGCTCTTTGCTGCAAAACAGCTGAAAACCTGGCCTTGAGCACCAACTCCCACAGTGCTGATACCAGCCCAGGCCCTCCTGCAAGGTGCAACTCACCTTTGGTAGTCTGCCCCGATGAGACTGGTGCCATTGACAGCCAGGATGCGGTCCCCAATGGAGAGCCTGCCATCCGCAGCCGCAGGGCTGTCCTCGATCAGCGTGCGGATGTAGATCCCAGGGGAGCAGAGAGGAGTGTGCTGTTGGCAGGGAAAGGTGGTGAGTGACCAATCGGGGCATAGGGGACATGAAAGGTTTGTGGTCCCAAAAGGCTGAGCTATCTGGGAAGGGTGACTGTCCCCTGCGGCTCACAGCCAAGCGGGTGCCTGATGCACTGGGGAACTTGACGGATGGGTGCTGGGGACGGTGTCACAGTAACAGGAAGGAAATGCAAGCCTTCAGTTTTATATCAATTTATAAAGGAGAGCTGGGGGCAAGTTTTCTTGTTCAGTTTCATTAAGAGTAAAGCATCGTTAACCTGCAGCCATCTTGGGATGGGAGCTCTTTACTCTTTGTCGCAGCAGCTCGGTGATGCCCTGTTTCCTACTGACTAATGCACTGCCGTGAAAGGGCACTTAGTAAAATGATCCACCACGCTCAGCCAGATTGCAACGTCCCCATGAGCAATGAGTGCTGTTCTTGGAGCAGTTCTGGCACCCTACGAACTTCCTTTGCCACCCGCTGAAGGGTGGAGGAAAAGACCTCGGCTGAGTCATTTTCCTTCCACCAGAGGGCTGAGCCTGTCTGCTCTCTCCAGCTGTGGGACAGATGTGATGGCCTTTGCGTGCACGGCACAGCAACCTGGGAGCAGGGATCTGCTCCTCCTGAGTGATCCGTCTACACCTCGTTTTCCCTAGGAGGAGCACTCTAGCTGCCATGAGGAAGCCAATAGCTTCTGGATGGTTTCACATGTCCCACGCCAGCTCTTTGGAGGAGCATCAGGCCTGTCCTGTGATGGGTGAGGACTCACCAAGCCATCAATCAGCCCCATCCCCAGCCCGATGGGTCCTCTCTCCAGCTCCACCACGAAGACGTAGCAGAAATCATCGGTGGCAGAGCTGCGGCTGGAAGACTCTGGTGTGGGGTAGTCATAGGGGGTCGGTGAGCATCCTGCCAGCAGAGAGACTGGGTTATCACTATGGCATCACCCAAACCAGCCTCACAGCTCCCCAAAACCCCATCAAAGCCAATCTCTTGTACCCCCAAGGCTGCGATGCTTCATTTGCTCTCCTTGTCCAAACACGGACAAGTCCCCACAGGAACCAGGGAAGGAGAACAGTAGCAAACACGCTCACACCCCGATCCTGCACCCCAAATCAGGGCAGTGCCAGCTGTCATTACCTTCAGGAGTGCTGCTTTTGGTGCCATTCATCCCGTTCCTCCGAGGGTCCTGCAGCCCCTTGCCGGTGCCCTGCGGGGACTCTGGGCTGAGGGAGTCGAAGTTCAATGGGGTGGTGGGGGGTGTCAGGAGGCAGGAGGGGTCTGTGGGTGCTGGTCCAGCCTTGGGGGGCAGGCCCCTGCCCAGCTGCAGCTGCTGGAGCCTCTCCTGGAGCTGGGGCTCACTGTCGGGGTGCTCACAGGGGCAGCCATTGGTGGCCAGGCAGAGCAAGGGGCTCCCCTCTGGCTCGGTGCAATGGTCCTCCTGGGTGATGGTGCTCCCCAAGGCAGCAGCAGGGCTCCTGCTCACCTCCAGGACATCTGCTGTCGTGCATGCCTCTTCCTTAAGGAGAGAAATGCTCTATGGGACCCTCTGCATGTGCTCGTCACACTCTACCTGTGCGCTCTGCAGGCACGAAGGCTGCTGGTTCCAGCCAAAGCCTTGGAAATCTGGATGCTGCTAGGGCTTGTCCTAGCACAATTCTGCACCCCAGGTTTGTGGCCGGGGCTGTGCTGGGGATGCTCACAGCCAGACAGAAGGGGATTTCCTGTCATGTCTGTGCTGGGGGGAATCCCATTGGAGGGTGACACTGGGGGAGCACAGTGATGTGGTCCAAGGGTGGCACAAGGAGGTAGTGGTGCGTGTGGGTGCTGCAGTCAATGGGGAGAAAAGAGCAGCTGCTAGAGGAATGTCCTCCACAGGGAGCTGGCGATGAACAGCAATTGAGCTTAGCACCTGCAGCACGTCTCACCCTCCCTGTGCTTTATAGGAATTAGCTAATCAGTGCTTTTGTGCTTGCTTGGCTACACGGGGACAAACAGGGCAGGGAGGAGCAGGAATACACAGGGAGAAGGGGAGTGCTGCCTACAGATATCCCCCTTCTTCCCTCCTCCCCACTAACAAGATTGCTGGGACCAGCCTGTCCTTCCTGCTCACCTTCCCACTCCCCCCAGGCTGGGGGATTAACAGCACTAATCCTTCCAGCAGCTCTACGTGAGCTCTACAGCAAGCCCTTGCCCTGGGCTCAGAGGGATCCAAAACCCTTCTGCCTACCCAGGAGAGAAGCAGCCCCTCCATGGGGTACAGGCTACCTTTGGGGGTGCTGAGCCCGGCCGGTCGCTGGTGCTGGGACTCTTGCTCTGCAGGCTCCAGAGGAAGTGGCGGATGTAAAGGAGGTGCCTGTAGATGTTGTCATCCAACGTCTCCACCTCCAGGTCCACTTTGAAGCCCGCGCTAGGCAGGATGATGGGAGGGTGGTTGTCAAAGGACTCCAACATCTCATCTGAAAGGCAGAGAGGTTAACACTGGCCTGGCTGTACCCTGCTCCTGCCTCCCGACTCTTGGCCATGTGTGGTCTTCCAGATGGGACTGGGGACACGGTGAGGTGCAAGGCAACAGCATTCCCCATTTGGGCACACAGAAAGAGCCCCAAGCCCTTCTGAGTGCACCCTTTGCAGTATCAGAATCACAAGGCCATGGTTATTCCCAATCACTGCAGTTACTACAGGAGTCCCCAGGAGGAGAAGGGAATTGTCTGCTTGGCTTCTACACAAAAACCCCAGAGGGAGCCTGTGTGTGAGCAGAACACAGTGACCAGAGCAGCACTGAGCGCGAAGCCGGGGCCTCACCGGGCTGGAAGGTGGCCGGGCTCTCCTCCTCGCTGGGCTGCCACGCTGCGATGCAGCCCACATCCATCACCGCCTCGCACTGGCTCAGCACCCGGTGGAGCTGCGCGGGGCTCAGCGCAGGGAACTCGGCTCGCAGGGATGCCCAGGTCATCTGAGCAAGGAGACAGAGCATGGGGTGAAGAGGTGAGGAGCTGCTTTCAGTGAGAAGCTGCGGCTTGCGAGGGGAATGGGAGGGAGAGAACAGGCAAGATAGAATCATAGAATCCCAGACTGGTTTGGGCTGGAAAGAACCTAAGCTCATCCAGTTCCACCCCCCTTCCAACACCTTCCACTAGACCAGGTTGCTCCAAGCCCCATCCAACGTGGCATTAACACTTAAAGATGGAGTGAACCTGAGCATCCCTCTTTGATACTGCGCACCCAACCAACACGGGGTGACAGGCTGCAGAAGAAGGCACATATCATGGTAGGGACCCCCAAACACCAAGCAGCGTTTCTCCTGCCTGTGCCCATCCCGATGCCAGGCACCCCTCACCTGCACCAGCTGGGAGCCGGGCATGGCCAGCAGGTTGGCCACGTTGGCAAGTTTGGCAAAGAACTGCTGGGCGAGCTGCTCGAAGCCAGCGCCACGCAACCAGTCGAGGAGCAGCCGCACGCTGGCACGAAGCTTCACCCCCTGTGACCAGTGGAAGCAGCCAAGAGAGGAGCCTGAGGAGGCAGAACATCCATCAGCACTGTCAGGGAACAGGTCACCTTGCCTTCAGCTGGAACCCGGGGGGAGGGATGCCCCAGGGAAGTGAAATAGATGCAGGTTAATGGCCCCAGCATCCTATAGCTGTAAGTACTGGTGGTGGTTGGATGGCACCTGGCACTAATAGCAGTGTTAATGAGGGCTAATGAGCACCTCAGTCAGAGAGCAGGCTGCAGTAGCTTATTACTGAGTTGCTCTCAGCATCCTTTGCTCAGGCTCAAAAGGGCAGTACTCTTGCAGGAGGTGAGGATAGGGCACTTGTGGGACTAAACCCCTCCTGGGAATGGGAATGGCAACTAGGTCTGTGCTTGACCTGCTCATCCCCAGCCCCTTGAAGCTGCTTGAAGCTCCCTCCCTCCTGTACCCCTCAAGGTGGCACTGGGATGGACTGGAGGATCTCCCAAGGGGTCAGTGCCCTAAAGGTTACCCGGTCCGGGCTGGGTGTTGCAGGAGGACTGACCCTTATCCAGGAGCTGGTTGAAGAGCAGGGTGTTGGAGAAGAAGAAGAGGTAGGCGAACATCTGGGAGGTGATCTCGGGGTGCACTTCGTACTGGCGCAGCAGGTCCAGCGCTGCCTGGTAGATGAGTACAACCCTGCGGAGCTCCTCGGGCAGCGATGGGTTCGCACGCCAGCTCTCCCTGCACTCATTCTGGAAGGGGTTGCACTCCAGCAGCGCAGGGAGAGACACGTACAGACACTGCGGAGAGAGGTCAATTCACACCACCATGATCCTGCTGCTTTTTCCCTTCTTTTCCTTTCCATCAGCCCCAAACCCTTCCAACCCCCCTCACCTCCACAAGCCAAGCAAAGTGCTGCTCTGGTAAGGGGTTGCTCTGGCTCACCCCTGCCTCGATGCGCTCCGGTGGTGCACAAGGATGTATTTGAATCATATATAAATATTAAATAAATATAAAAATGAACGTTTCTGGTGCTTTTAGCAGTTGGAGTTGACAGTGTGGGACCTCAGCTAAAGGGACCTGAAAACTGAGCTGAACCAGGGCTGGGAACAAGGGTGAAAGAAAAACCAGAACTAATGGGGATGACCTTTCCCTATGGATTAAACGGGAGAGCAACACCTAGCATCCACTCCTGCTAAGGGGAAGGTGAGCAGTGCCTGCGTCCCTGCGTGCTGACACCAGCACACAGCAGCCTTTCTTCTGCCTCACACTGCCCGCTCTGTTCCCTGCTCCCGATGCTGCCTGGCTCTTGCGGTCCAACGGCAACGGTCCAGGGGCCCCTTTCCATCACACCCTGAATCACACCATTATGCCACGCTGGCCGGAGCCAAGCAGCTCTCCCCAAACGCCTCCCCTGAGCCGCTGCACTGCAGGCAAGGAAACACGCTGCAGTAATTCAATCCTTCTCCTGGGCTGTGACCAGAAATCGGGACATTTCAGCCCAAAGGAAAACACCTCAATGTGGTGGAACTGCCAGCTTAAGGAAACCTTCTGCAGAGCACAAGAGCTGCTGGGGATGCTTGTGCCTGCCCCATGGGATGCTGCTCCCCTCCCTGCAAGCACATACCTTGGAGATGTAGTAGACACACTGCTGGAAGGTGTACATGATCACCTCCTCCAGCACCGTCATCGCCTCCTCGCTGGCTGTGATGGTCGAGGAGAAAAGAGACTCCTTGGAGCCTACGGGACAGACAGAAGAGGATGGGGAGCAAACCGACAGCAGTGAAATGGGCTGAAGTCACTGCTCCCAAATCCCCAGGGTGATGTTATCGGTGCTTCCAGGCTGGCATCACCACTGTGGCATCCCTCGAAGAGCCACTGGCAGCACAGCGCAGTACCACAGCATGGCAGTCTCAGCCCACGGATGCACCCCTCCTTCCAACAGCCCACTGCCTTACAGGTTTTGACTTGCTGCATAGACCAGAAGGTTTCTGAGGCTCATTTAACTCCTTTTTCCTTCTTTTCTGTCTTTTTGGCTGGCACTAACACAGGCTCACCAGTGAGCAATTCTGCCTGCAACCCCAGCAGCCAGCGGGCGAAAAGCTGCCCCCAAAGCATTAACCACAAGCTGCCACGGTGGGAAGGGGAGGTGGATAAGGGGAATACAACAAAACCTGCCCCTGAAGCTGAGCAGCACCACTGCACGATGTGAGGCTGCTCCTCCTGCACGGATTACCCCAGTTTGCACTGCAGAGATGCCCCTGCTGGTGAGGATTGGGGGGGGTTAAAGGAGCATCTCGGTGGCACTGACCACTCGTTGCAACTGGGGATTAGCAGAGCAAAAGCACTCGGGCTGGAGAAGCAAGCAGGGTGCTCTGTCCAGCCTTACCTCTGATGTCCAGCTCCTCCTCCATGCTCTGGATATAGGTGGGTGATTTCTGCTGGATGAAGTAAAGGATCTCAATAGCGTTGGCCATCCAGAAGAGGATGTGCTGCAGGTCTGGGAGAAGGTCCGTGACGGAGAAGTGGGACAGGGTGGCAGGGTCCTGGCTGGGGAGACACAGTGAGCATTACGGCTGCTGCTCCTCAGCATCCCCACTCAAGCTTCTGGGGAGAAAACACCCAGCCTGGGGCAACGCCAAAGAGCTGCTGCATCCCCTCACCCCCAAGCCCAGAATCCCCCTAAGGAAGACAAGTGATCTGGTGGTCCCAGCTCCATGGGACGGCAAAGGAGACCATGCAGGGACCAGGGTGGCCGAGGGCTGCTTGCTCTTTGTGGGGTGCTGCTTTTGGGTGAGACTGCCCATAATAGAGCGGAGCTGCAGTAACTGCTTCTGGCTCTCCCCAAGCAGTATGTGCTGTTCCTGCCAGCTCTGGACGGCTGAACCCAGCCCGCCCGCATGGGGCTGCTCAAAAATAAAACTAACCAAATAAAAAGCATCTGGGAAGTTGCTCAACTGCTTTTCCCTGCTGTAGGAATAGGCCTGGGAAGCATCCGCAGGAGCTCGTCCTGGGGGAGAGCTTGCAGCAAGCACCAGCAGTTTCTCCAGATGTTGCTTTGGAGCCTGGATCTTGGAAGCGGCTGGGAAGGCAGCCCCCCCACACACACACTGCTGTGATAGCCCCAAGGTGGTGCTCCCCATCCCTGTGCCACCATCCCTGGATGCACACTGCAACACCAACCGTATCTGCACTCCACAGACAGGTCTTCAGCATTAAGGGTGTGAGACCCTGCACCGAGGCCATCCCTGCTATATCCCTTAGGAATTCTGAAGCCACATGTGCAAAGCCTTGGCCAGGTCTTGGATCAGAGAAGACCCCAGAGCTGCTGCAGGTCCTATTCCTGCAGCAAGCTCGCCTGCTTTTCCAGCCCTACACATTTCCAAGCAGGAGCTTTGTAGGCAACGCGGCAAAAGAACCAGGAGCTGAATGCATGGGATTAAGCAGGAAAACTCAGTGTGTGTCAGTGCCGTCAGGCACTTTGAAGGTGGCTTTAGGCAGCCACAGGCTCCCCTCTCTCATAGAGGAAGAAATGGGTTGAATTCTCCCCATTCAGGGCCAAGACAAGGCAAAGCAGGAGGCTGCACTTACTGCTGGGACTGCTTTTCGGCCAGCTCCCGTGTCCGCTCCTGGGCAGGGAGAGAAGGGGAAAGCAAAGTGAAACCCAGTGGGATGGGGTGGCACGAGCATCACCCAACCAGCACTCGCTGCCTCCTTGAGGGGGTATCAGCAGCACCCCCACCCCACCAGCACCCCCATCCCACCGCTGACTGACCCACACCGTCCTCTGGATCATTTTGGCCACTTTGAGCAGCAGCTGCCCGAAGTCTCCCGGCTCGAAGCTGGTGGCCGAGTGCTGGATGCAGAGGCAGAGCAGGAAGGCGGGTGTCAGCTTGTGGTCGTCCCCACCGGGCTCGATCAGGGTCATGATGCGTCGCAGCAGCACGTCCTCAGCCGCCGGCTCGAACTCCAGCAGCAGCTTCCTGCGGGGTGCCCTGGGGCCGGCGGCAGGCGAGGGACCCCTCTTTTTGGTGGCGGGGTCCCTCAGCAGGCTGCCGCATGCCCTGCAGACAGGGCGACCCTCGGAGACAGCGGGGTGCAGGGCTCGCAGCCTCAGCAGGGTCTGTGCTGGCAGCGGCTGCGCCTTCATGGGGTCCTTATAGAGGAGCAGGTAGTAGAGACCGAGGGAGAGGAGGTCCCCGTGCTGCAGCACGACCGTCCGGGCCACCTCGGTGAAGTTGATGGAGATGCCGGCACCGGCGATGGGCTCCAGCACCAGCTTCTCCTCCGAGCAATGCCGGGAAGGTCGGAGCTTCCTGATGGTGCAGTGCAGGGGCAGGATGTCGGGGGCTGACAGGCTGATGCTGGGCTTGCTCGCCTGCGTCCTCTGGCCCACCGTGTGCTGCTCGCGGTTCAGCAGGTAAACCAGGCTGTCCTGCCAAGGGGGGAGAGACACGGCATGAACCAGGGATGGAGGGGCAAAAGGGACCCTCCTCTCTGCCGTGCAGTGGGTGCTGCAGCATCCCGCTGTCCCCAGCCATCCCCCTGTCCCCTGCATCTTTGCATGGCAGAAACACATTTCTCTCTGCTGAGCAGGACAGCAGCGATCCCAGCTTTGGGCATGCTAATAAATGGGGACAGTAACTTTGGGCATGCAGTGAATGGGGCTGCTCTGGGCAGAAGGAGTTCTCCCTCCATCTCTCACCTCCTTCTCCCAGCTGCTTGTCCTTCCCACCTTCTTCTGCAGCAATGCCTGCATCCCCCAGCCCGGGAGGACAATGGGACAGCAGTCAGAGCAGAGACTCCCTGCCCTGCCTTATTCTCCAGCCTGCTCCAAAGCAGGTCTCATAACCCACTCCCCCGTGCCTCAGTTTCCCCAGCTGTACTAATGGGGTGGCTGCAATACCAATGTCACCCTGCAGAAACCTTGGCACAGCCTGATTCCCAAAGGGGACAAAGTAGCCATTAACTACAAGAGGCATCCCAGGCCTTCCCAGTTTTCCAAGTGCCTCCAGCACTGGGGACCAGGGGCTCCCAGCCGCTCTGTCTCCTCGCTGCCTCATTACGTTTGCCACTAGCAACCAGACAAGGGATGGGGCAGTTCAGCCATCACTCGCAAAACCGGACCATTCTTGCGCCAAGTCAGGGACGCTGCTCTCACATCCCTCTGGGATGCTACCGGGGGGTCCTCGCTCTGCACCCCCAGTGCTTGAGGGCAAGCTGGAGGACAGACTTGGTGACAACGCTGCAAGTCCCAGGCTGGCACCGCTCTAAAGGATGCTCTTCCACGCCACCACCCCAGCAGCTCCGGCCATGCAAGCAGCCCCCCGGGGCTTTAAGGGGTGATGGGACGAAAGCGGAGGGGGGTGCAGGGGGGTGCGCAGGGAGGCGGCGCGGTGCTTACATGCTGCTGGCTGTAGCCCTGCAGGAGCAGGAGGTGCGGGGACTGGTAGAGGGAGTACCGCATGCTGCTGCTGCTGCTGCTGCTGCTGCCGCCGCTCCGCGCCGCCGCCGGGCTCCCGGGCAGGGTGGAGCAGTGCCGCTGGACCCGCTCCCCGGGACCGGCCCCGGTACCGACCCTCCGGGCCGGGATGCCCAGGCTGGTCTCGCTGAGGCTGCGCCGCAGGGCCGGGGGGGGGCCGAGCCGCTCAGCCCCAGCCGGTGCCCGCCGGGCCCCCCGCGCCCGGTGCCGCTGCAGCTTCCGCGCCTGGGCGTTGATGCCTGCGGGGATGGGGGGGGAAGAGCAGCATCAGTCCCCGCAGCCCGCCCCCCCCCCCCGGTACCGCAGCACCCTATGGCAGGGGGGACGCTGCAGCTTGGAGAGGCTCAAAGCATCCCCAGCCCCGGGTTGGTGTCCCCCCTGGTTTCCCTGTCCTCCTGAAGGGTGACAGCAGGACATCAACGCAGACACTTTCACCCCAATGCTACCACCACAGAGGGGGTGTCCCAGAACTCCTAGGCCCCCAAACCCCACTGACTGGGACAGCCAAGCTGGGCTCAGCATCCTCAGCATCCCCCACGCTGCGAAGGCTGGGGGGAGAGAGGAAAACTCTGCTAGAAAGAAATTCAGCTCAGTAAGAGCCTGGATACTGCTTTTTAGGAGCTACAGGGAGGTCCCCCCGGCCCCCACCCCGAGCATCATCAGGCACGGGAGCTGGAGCTGCAGTGGAGCCTGCCCGCTGCCTGCTGCAGGAGAAGCTGTAATTAACAGCTTAATGTTCCCTAAACATCCATTCGGGAAGAGCTGCTTGCAAGAGGAATAATGGGAGCTGGAGCGAATGAATAGGCCTGGCCGAGCTGCAAAAGCAGCCCCTCGAGTGGCATCCCCATCCCTAAGGGGGTCCCCACAGACCCCTCCGTGCTGCAAGTGTGGCTCCAGCTCTGCAGGACAAGTTGGGGGTCCGATGGGCGATGCTCGTACCTGGGGTGGGCAGCCTCCTGGGAGCAGGTCGCTGGCATTCAGGGAGGACGAAGAGAGGGGGGAAAAGCCTAAAGGATTTGCTTGTGGAAGCAGCACTGCAGCAGCATCAGTGCAGCACAGAGCCAGAGCCCCATTTACGGCTCAGCCGACCAGCGAGCAGGCTGCGGCCAGTGATATTTGGGGACAAGCAGCGGGATTTGGGGACGGCAGAGCAGAGAGCCTGGTGCCCAGGGCTGCTTAAAGGGACACTCACAAGTTCAGACCCGAAAATGCCATCGGCCTTATTTGGTGAGGAACGGGCTGCTGGTTCTGGAATACATTTCTGTGTTTGTTTGTTTTAAAGCAAGTGCTCCATTGCTGGGAAAACGAAAGAGATGGGGATGGGGAGGGTGGTGGGAGAGGGAGAAAATAGCCCCTGCTGTTTACATGCCTTGGGATTAAGGCAAGGCACAGCCAAGTCACCCGAGCGGTCCAGTGCCCTGTGTCCTTCTTTAAAAGGCAATCGGCCCAGCTCATGTCCCCATCACGGCCAGCAGCACGGCATTGGGATGTCTGGGTCCTGCTGATGTGAAATCCAGGGAGTGCAATAAGCCCCAAATGTGCCACTGGGGATGCCAAATGCCCCCCCCCCCCCCCAGGAGCCCCGTCCCCAACCCACAGCATGGAAATGGACCAAAGGGATGAAGGATGGTTGGGCAATGCCTGACTATGGAAGTGGAGGAGGAGAAGGGCTGGATCCTAGGGAGCTGGAGCTCATTGCATCGGGATGGAGGAGGGGTGCCAGGATTGGGGTCCCACCACCCAGAGGGAGACGCCATCACCGGTCCCTTATCTAGGGGAAAGGAAGCTTCTGTACTTGTTTTGTGCAGGAAAAGGCTGCTTTTTCAGTGCTGACAGAGCCCCCGTCACAGGCTCCCCGCTAACCCCGGAGCTGCCCTGGAAAGATAAACACGGCTCTTTTCCTGAGCATAACAAAGCCCCTCCATAAACCAGGATAGGGCTTTTTCCAGTCCTCTCGTACTGCTTTCTCTTCCCAAGCATGTGCAGAGTATCCCACCCGAAACACTGCACGAGCATCTCCAGTGCCGAGCTGCTGAAGCCACACGGTGATGGGGATGGGAATGGGGCAGGATCACGCCCTGTCCCTTAGGAAGAACGGGGCACCCCTGGCCAGCACCCACCAGGCCCCACCAAGCTGCTGCCTCTAAACCCATCCTGCATCCCAGATGAAAACGTGTTGGTTGTGGTGCCTGGGATGTTGACCGGGATCTGCCTCTTTTCAGCCTAGGGAAGATGTTCCCTGTCCATGGCTGGAAATAAATCAGCCAACAGATACCTCCAGGGGCCCCAGGAAAGGAGAAATGCTTTGAATTTACCCAGGAGGAGCTGACGCCAGGCTGGTCCTTCCTAATGGAATCGCTACTCAGACCCTGCAGGGAATCTTCCCTGGATGCACTCGTGCTAAGGCGTATCAAAGGCAGATCCTCGAAGGTACCTGCCAGAGCATCTTTTATAGGCTTAACTGCTAAGTTTCTCGAGTTGTGCGAGCGTTTCAGCCTCCAGCCTCTGGGAAAGCCTCAGCAAGCTCAGGACATGGTGCAAAATGGGGCTGTTTTGGAAGATGAATGCCATAAAGATGCCAAGTGCCGCACCTCTGGGTTGTGGGTGCTCTCCCCGGATGCTCCCTACCCACTGCCTCATTGCTCCCCAAAAGGAGTGGGGCTGAGGGGACAGGCATGAGAGGGAATCTGCCTCCTTTACTGCAGAGCTGCTCCACCTGTGCCGCTGCTAATCAGTGGCATGAGGAGCGAGCACCTTCCTTCCCAGTGGGAAGCAGCTAATAATGATTAGGATAATGGGTAACCCAGCAGATAAAACACCTGAGCTATGTGCTAATAGGCTTCGGATGGGTGTAGGGGCTTCCTCCCATCCATCAGCTCAGCAGCAGGCAGGAAGTGATGCACCAGCCTGAGTGACACCAGTGGTCCCAGTCCTGCAGCTCCAGCGATGCTTAATGTGGGTAAGGACCCTGCAGGTATTTCCCATGGGATCCTGCTTTGCAGCATCCTTGTTTTGTTTTCTAGGGAGCTGCAAGCCCAAAGTCCCTTTATGTTTGCACAGACGCTGCGTTTTCCACACCAGTGCATTTTTCCTCACCCTGGGCAGGCAGCTGATGCTTGGCAAGGGAACCTTTGCCAGCTTGGGGCTGGTGACAAGGGTGACCCTGGTGGAGGGCACTCACAGTCGGTACCCATCCCACCAGGGGTTTCATGTCTTTTGGGGATGCTGGATGAGGAGGAAGTAGATACTTCCCCCAGACATGCTGCATCATTCCCAGAAGCTTCTAGATGGGCTGGGAAGGTGTGGGTCCCAGCCCCACAGCACCCCTTTGGGCAGTGCCACCAGTATAGGGTAAGAAACTGAAAGAAAGGGCTGCAGGAGTGAGCTTTTAACGGGTAAGACAGATCGGGGCTGTGAGTGTGCAGAGCAAATAGCCCAAACAAACGTGGGTGTAGGTTTTGTGTCTCGGAAGAGCTTGGTCAGCTATGGAAAATGCCCAAAGGTTTAAAACATGGAGCATTTCCACCACCCCACCCAGGAGTGCTGAAACAAATGAAGGGATATCTACACTGAAAGCATAACGGGCTCATTTCCAGATCCAGGGCACGCGATCCCATCAGGAGCTGCTCCTTCATCAGCAATCACTGCAGGCTGCTGAGCCCAGGCCAGCTCGGTGCTGCCTGCTCCTGCACCAGGCAGCCTGCATCCTGCTGCTGCCCCAGCCTGTGTGGGAGCCTTGTCCTCCCCATCGCTGCCAGCCCACCCAGGTCACGGCTAGGAGCGCTGCATCCAAGGGGGAGGATTTGAGGCCAAGAGCTGATGTGACCTTGGGCTCAGGCTGGGAGCTGCCACGTGGCTCTCCCCACCGTGTGCTGTAACCATTGTGCTTGACTCTTGCCCTTGCCTCTATTCAAAAGATGCTGTTTTTAGAGTCACCGCTGTCCCAAAGTGCTTAAGGTCTCTCTGATCCTGCCTGAAGAAAGAGATGAAGGAGTAGAGAGCATCCACCTCTGCAGCTCCCTCCCTGGTCCAGGGGCTGGCAGCAGTAGCCTCTTTCTCTCTGTCACGCATGCAATGAGCTGGAACCTGTAGCATCCCCTCCATGGACTGGACACAGCAAGGGATAGAGGCAGCCCCGTCTCACCATTGGCATCCCATGGACCCCCCTGCACAGCATTAACACAAGGCCTGGGGGCTGTTTTCCCACTGCTCCTCCATTCCATTGGAGGTGAACCCATCCCAAGCCCCCCCACACAACACAAGCAACCCCTAAAGCTGTTAACTCCACACTCAGATTTTGGGGCATCTGGGCAAAATTGCAATAGCAAATCGCAGCCTCTGCTCTCTCTGGTTTCCTTCATTCCATGTGCCTGGTCTCCTTCCAGCCCTCATTAGAGCAGATTGGAAAGGAGCCCCATCCCTACTGGCATGGGATAGGTCAGGCCGTTTGTTCTGCTGCTGCTGGGGGCAACCTTGGCTCCTGTTTGCTGAGCCCATGGGCTAAACCTGCATCATCATTAGGCTGTTTCTGACAATCACAACTCCTTGCTACAGGTGTGAGGAGGCACTTAGTGCCCATCCCAGCAAAACCTCCCAAGCTGGATCTGGATGCTTCCATCAGCAGGTCAGACCCATCAAGGGCATCATGCAATTAAAAACCTGATTCTAAACCTTTCCACCCTCATCCTTGTGGGGCTTTTATCTGAGGGTGGGAGGAGGAAAACTTCATTAGCAGGGTCACTTATTAACCTGCTGGCTCCTAATGATGCCCTTATCTCCTCCTGCCAGCCTTAGATTCATCAGCTATCTCTGAAGGAGCTCTCCTGCCCTACATTGCTCTCCCTTCATTAGCTTTTCATCTTGCTTAATTGCTCCTGCAGATTTGCCTGGGGTGAACCACCTGGGGGATGCCCACAGGGAGATGGAGGTGCAGGAGAGCCGGGCGTGAAGCTGCACCAAAGCATGGGACACCACGATGTTGGCCCACAGTGATGGTCTTGCTGCCGCTGCCTGGCTGCAAGCGGGGTCCTGTATGAACCCCTAAACTGGCTGGGGTAAGTATTTGGGGTCGCAGGTACCAAAACTATGCAGGAGAGCTCTGAGTATCAACCCTACCCAGAAGCCTTGCAGCTAAAATGTGGCTGCCCTCCCGCTTGCACCACCCACCTCCCACCACCAAAGCATGCAGAAGCTGCTGGTATGGGATGCCTGGGGAGGGTCCCATCTCCCTGGACCCTGTCCCTATCCCGCACCCAGCTCTGACCTGCAGTGGTGGTGTCCACATCCCTGGCTGCCATCTCCTCCACTTCTGCCCTCTTGCGCAGCTCCAGCCGCCTCGAGAAGCCCTCCCTGGGCTTCCACAGGTCCTGGATGAGCAGCGGCTTCTCGTGGTCACCGAGCACCCTCAGCCCTTCCGTCTGCCACTGCTTGTCGGGGCCCTCGAACCTGCCGATCACATCGCACAGGGCGTACTGCCCGGCGCTGAGCTGGCTCAGCCCATAGCGCTCCAGCGCTTCCTTCACCAGCTCCCGTGCGCCCGAGCTGCCCGTCACCAGCACGCTCTTGTAGTTGGTGCCCGCGCAGATGTTGCCCCCAAAGATCTTCAGGATGCCGGGGACAGAGAGCTGGGTGGAGAGCTCGGCTGGGTCGTCCTCATTGGGTGCTGGGGAGGAAGATGCTGAGCTCCGGTCCTTGTAGCTCAGGGTCCGGTACAAGACTTGGGAGAAAATCCGGCTCTGGCGCTTCAGACGGTTCTTGGATGGTGGGGCCATGGTGGAGGAGGAGGAGCCGTAAAACATGGTGCGTGAGGTCATTGTGGAGCGTGGCTGGGCAGGGGAGAGGAAAAGGGGAAGTCAGTGGTTTGGAGGCCAGATGGGCAGCATGGAAGCAGCAGGTGGTGGCCACGGAGGAGCTGCCGCCACCTCCAAAGTGAAAAGGGACAGCAGCAAGGGAAGGATGTTTCCCTTGTGCGACCCAAAACACCGGCAGCCAAGGTCCTTGATGTCAGCACAGTTACCCCAGGGTGGATTTGTCCCTGCAAATGCAGCTGGAGCAGCCCCAAATTCCTCCTCCATTGCATGCATTGAGGTCCCTCTCACCCAAGCAAAACGCAATAGGAGGAGAGCAGAACCCAGCGTGGCCCATCCTGGTCAGGAGCCAAGGCACCAGCAGTGACTTCCACTAACGAGTTTACGGAGCAATCCCATTTATTTAGAGGTGAAACAGAAAGCCGAAGTGGGAATTCGGTCACTCTGAGGTCACTGCTAAATGCTTTTGCTCACTGAGAGGCACAGGGTGAAAACGGGCTTTGATCAACCCTTCAAAACCAGCCTGACTCTGGCAAACCTCTTGGCTGTTGCTTGTTTGTGGAGGACACTAAAGCATCACTGACAAAGGCTGACCTTGTCACGTTAACCAGGGCAGGGCTGCTTGGGGCAGTGGAGATAAGGCCATGGGACCGTGGCCATGCAAGAGCTCCTGGTGCACCTCATCCATTGGAACAGGCTGGAAACCCAAGTGCTCTTCTGGCTTTAGGCTTCAGGCAGATAGTGCCAGATGTCACTGTCAGCATCTGGGGCCGGCTCTGAAATCACATCCCGGATGCACAACACCCGGCACTTGCGCAGCACTCATAACACGACCGGCTGCATCGTGAGCTGCTGGTGGGAAAGGTCTGGAAAGACAACTTCAGCATTCCCGATTCCAACAGCACAGGGATTTCCCTCGCCTCCACGTTTATAACATGCATCTGGCATGCAAGGAACAGCACCAGAGGACAGCCAAAATGTCTCATCCCCAGCTATGCAGAGCAGCCCTGAGGCGTGATCCAGCAGTGCATGCAAGGTTTGTTTGGGATACCAGCACCTTTCTGCATCTGCAGCCCTGCCTTGCTCAGGCAGGATCTTGCCACCAGAGCAAACCCAGCACTATCAGGCAGAACGATGTTGGGCCTGGAAAGCCTCCAAACCACCATCTAATTCGGGAAGAGAACGTGTCCCTGCTGCTAATGGAAGAGGTCACCTTCTAACCCAGAAACAAGCTCCCTGCTGTGCACAGAGGGTTTCTGCGGGGCGTGCGTCCTCCCATCACAGAACCAGGCACCCACTGAATGCTGCAGATGGGGAAACTGAGGCACCAGCAGGAGCTGAGGCTGCAGGCTGTGACTGGGAGCTGTGTGATGAACCTCTAGGGATGGGGTTAGAGCTTTGGCTCTCCCCACACTGCTGCTCCTCTGCCAGTGCTGCTGCTCCCACTGGGGACATCCCTGGGGACACCCCTTGATGTCTGCTTGACATCCTTGATCTGTGCCACCTCCCAGGAGCACCAGGGCAGACCCGACCTGGGGAGCAGGTCAGGGCACTAACAGAGTCAGGTTCAGGAACAGCTACCCCAGGTTGTTAGCACAGCACCATCAGCCCTCATTAACATCAACCAGACCAAAACCTTCCGGTGTCCCTGTGAGACCTTGCCATCAAGGATGCAAAAGACAAACCTTTGTCATCAAATCACTGTTTTCAGCTTGCAGGTTTAATCTCCTCTGCCCTGAACTGCCTCCAGCACAAAGGGGAATCTTCTAATATCTGCTGGTGATAAAATCGTTCCTCCAAGTCCACATCACAGACTGAGACATCATCCTCGCTGCTTGCAGGTCCCTGCCTGGTTGTGAATACGTTATTTATAGCTCAGCTATTTTCCTGCTCTTTTGATCAAATGCAGCTTCTACAGAGTGCAGGGAGAAGGCATTTTATGGGGAAAAAATCAGGAGCCTGGATTGGGAGAATCTTCCAGCCTGGTCATCCCATTTTTCAACATCTGGAGTAACATTAGTGTGATTGAACCAGGCATCAGCCCGGGTCACCTTCTCCCAAAGACAACACATGGTCTTAATCCCCCTGAGGGCTCTGATGGATGCAGTGATAATGAATGGGCTCTTCCCACATCCATGTGCTCAGGCTTGCTGGTCACAGGCATCTCCAAGGAGGTTAAAGAGAAATCTGGTACGTGCAATACCACTGGGTCCTGCGGTGAGAGCAGGGATGCTCCAGCTGGGCCCAGCTACCTGGACACAAGCTGTTAAGGGTATTAACAACCTCAGGTTGATGGGACGTGTGCTCCTGGACCTCCCAGCTCAGGCAAGCTCTCTCCTTGCTTCAGGCAGCCTCCCTGGAGGATACATGCCTGCAGCTATGAAGCATGACTCAGACCTTCCAAAAAGTCCCCTTCTTCAGCATCCAGAGACACCTCCACTAAGGACTACACCGGAATTAGCCAAAAGCCTGTGATTGCCTCCCAGTGGGATCCTTCACCTCTTCACATGCCACACCAAAACCAGGTATTTTCCATGGCCAGCACTGTCTGTATTTACCCTGCAGAGCTATGACAAATCCTTTTGGAATCCACATGGCCACCACATGTCCTTCCATCACCACAACTGACTGCAACCAACAGGGATTTTCCTGCTGGCCCTGAGGTTCCTGCTCCCACCATGGGTGAGCAGCTCCTTCCCACCAGTTCCAACCAGTGCCCAGGCAAAGTCTCCCCTTACCTTGCCATCCTTCTCACGTGCCTTTTTTCCTTCCATTCATCCTCTCTCTTAAAACGAGCCTTCTCCCCTGTCACGCATTGTCCTGGGTGGGCATCCGTTGTGCCTCTGCAAGAGGAAGAGAAGTGATCCTGGGCTGCCCACAGACATCAGCTGTTCACAGTGTGGTGGCTTTGGAGGGCGCAGAGATGCTATGACTCCTCTCCTGATGTGCCTCACTTTTGCACGCAGACTACTGAACCATGTATATATCCCCTATGGCTCAGCATCCCACTGTATTCCCCCTGCCTCAAATCAAACAGCCCAAGCACAAGCTGCTGCCATCTGGGATGAATGGGGCACATTGCCACAGGGGATGCATGCCTGGTGACGCATGTGCTTGCACATGTTCGTCCAACCACAGATGGGGAAGTCCAGACCAGCCCCAAGCTCAGGCTCCATCGCAGCAGGAACGCGGCAGCCCTGGGGGGTGAGATGGAGCAAACCCAGCCACGGTGATGCCCATGGCAAAGGGACAAGAGAGAACATCTACAGGAAAAGAAATGCTATTGGAAAGGAAAGGCAGAGATGGGACTAGTGGCAACCCCATGACCTTTATCTCCTTCTCTTAAGCATTCACCTCCCCAGGGATGCCAGGCTGGGGACCCTCTCACCCATGGATGGACAACGAGTCCTGGACCAGCTCCTTCCCCCTGCAGCCACAGCATGCTGGAATGCTCCCTGGGATCTGTTTTCCTTGAATCTCAGTTTGTTTTGCTGGACATTGAGGAGAACCACCAAGCACAATCCCCTCACCCTCTCAGCATAGATCTGCAAGAACATGCTCACTGGTAACCAAAGGGAAAGAGAAAAGAAGTGCCTGCAGTGATTTCAGTGGTGTTTCTCAGAAAGAGCCAGCAGGGCACAAGAAATAGTCCTTTTCTGTTGCTCTGCTGTGATTGAAATTGCACCATCTCATTAAACCACTTCATCAGGGCCTCAGTGCCGCTTTGATCCAGCCCTTCTTGCTTGCCCAGCACTGGGACTATGGGAGAAGCTGCAAGGTGACGGGTCATGATGCTAAAGGCAAAGAGATGCTGATGCCACCTCTGCTGCTCGCTGTGTCTTCTGATGATTAATTGCTCCCACAGGTTAAATATTTACGCCTTATTACCAGTGTGTCTGCCTTCAACTGCCAGACATTGATTCCTGTCATGCTTTTCTCTGCTCAATTAACAAGCTTTTGGCTACCATGTATTTTCTCCTCTGCGAGAGTATTTAGGTGCTTTAATCAAGCCACACTTGCTCCTCTTTGGTTTGATTTATGGGGGGATTAACGCAATGGCCATCTCATCTCTCATTGTAAGATGCTTTCTGCAGTCCCTCGGTCTCTTCCCTGCAGCCTCCACACCTCCACTGAGATGGAGAGGCTGGGTTTGGCTGTCATCAGCCCAAATCCAGTTCTGACAGCACCCTGATCACAAAGGCAAATAACTGCTATTTCTTTCCATAGCAAAGTTTCCCATTAATCCTGGAAAATACTCAATTCTCCAGCATGGAAATCGGGATGGACACACACAGCCACCCCTCAGGCAGCTCCTGCTGGAGGAGGGAATGCGCCCCTGTGCTGTCTCTCCCAGCTTCTGCTGAAAACCTATCATCCAGGTTAGGGCCAGGAAAACATGGACAACTCCAGTTATTATTTTTGGGTGCAAAAAGACTTCCCTTTCCCATTTGGCTCCAGTTAGGAAGGCTTTTGCTTGCCCAGTTTACCGTCCAGATTTGTCCAAGCTATTGACATTGTGCTGCTCTGGGTCGGCCCCAGGATTTTCCAAGCAATCATTCCTATCTCCTTCCAGCTTCGTGATAAAAGCACTGAAACACGGAGGGCATGCAACCAGCTAGCAGTGCCCAGCAGTGATAATCTCCCCTGATAACTGCCTTTGAAATGAATCGGGTTTATTTCATACCGGCTTCCTTGACATCGTAGAATGTCAGCTCTAAATACTGGCCTGGACTGGGTTTAATACTGAAAACTGCAGGTTTTTACAAGAATATCACCTCACATAACTCAAATGCCTTGTAAAGTTGTATTACAGCCAGAAAGGCACCTCTCGCATCGGAGACTGAAGTCATTCCTACGTGCCAAGAGTTATTTTCCATAGAGGCACATTGGACAGCAGGAATTTATTCCTGGTGCTGAAGTCTTTCATCAATTAAAGCCTGCGCCAGGTTTCTCCCTCTTCTCCCAAGGGGATGCTACCAAGCCAAGCAACCTGTGGCTACCAGGTCATCTTACTCCCTTTTGGGAAGAGCAACAGCACTATTAAACCACTTTTTAAACCTCCTGGAATTTCCCTGGGGCAGACGCAGGTTTGCATGGATGGGCGGTGAGATTCCAGCTGCAGCCACCCCAGAACGGCCACCAGGAAAGCCATTTCCCCACATCCCCATTTGGAAAATTTCCCTTTTCTTTTCCCTTTATGTTTTGGATGGAAACCACTGCTCTAATGGCAACCACAGCAGCCTGGATGCTGCGAGCGCAGGGAGAGGCTGGCCGGCCCTGCAATGTGGAACAAATTATAACTGAGAGAGCAAAGGAAATGAGAACACCCTGGACACGGCGCCTTTGACGTGCGCTCCTTTGGCTCCAAATCCTGCCCCTCTGCAGATCCCATCCCTGCTGCTGAGGCAGAGTCCAGACCCCATTCAGCGTCAGAGCCCCCATTCTGGATCGAGTCTCTGCTTCAGAGCCCAGTTTCTTCTTGTGTGAGTTTTATCCATCTAATCTAGGGATGGGCTGGAGGCTGATAATGTCGATGCCAGCCTCAGTGCTGTCTTTAGCCGGATCAGAGCAGGTAAACTCCTTACCATGTTATTATTAGCAGCAGGCGCTCTGTGGTAGCACCCTGGACCCCACAACCCAAGGACCATTCAAAGCAGGTATAAAGGCAGTCCTGCAAAGACGAACTAACAGCTTGTCCTAAAAGCACTTCTAGCTCTGCAGACAAATTATACTGATTAGGACTCAATTCTACAAGAACAACAGGAGTCCTTTCAGCACATTTTCTTTTCTCACTTCATTTTTTCCCCTATTATTTTGCAGGTTTGGAGCCACCAACGTGCATCAGCTCTCAGGCAATGCACAAGTACAAATTCCAGCCCTCTGCCCAGGCAGCTCTCACTTCTCACACAAGGAACACTCACAAAGAGCATTTGCTTTCTGCTGCCTCCTGAGCAGCAGAGTCTCCGTAGGCTGCCTAATTATAAGATCTTAGCAGTGATTCTTTTCCTGCGATAATTAACTGATCCTGGAGAGTGCTGAAAATAAGCACTTCCCAAGCAAGCAGCAAACTCCCCTGAGTTTCCTCTGCTAGAGTTACAAGTCAGCATGAAACTGCTCCAGCCACACGGGGACACAGACCCACAGCAGCTCCCTGCCAAGGCCTGAGATGCCACGACAGTCGCAAGCAGCTGAATACAGGTGAAACTGCGTGTGTGGAATAGCAGCGCGATCCCAAGGGGCATGCAAGGGCGAGAAGGATCCCAAGGGATGTGCAATGGGGAGAAGGATACCAAAAGGTGTGCAATTGGGTTAAGGGCCCCAAGGGGCATGCAGTGGGGAAAAGGACCCCGAGGGGTTCGCAGTCAGAAGCATCCCAAGGGGCACGCAGTGGGGAGAAGGATCCCAAAGGGTGCGCAGTGGGTCAAGGGCCACAAGGGGACACCCAGCGGAAGGAAGGGTCCCCAGGTGTCTGGCAATGGGACGACGATCCCAGGGTGCTGCATCTCCCCAGCCTGGCCCCCGCCTGCCCGCTGCCCCGTAGGGTCTCCAACAGCAACCGGACGAGCCTCAACCCTCACCGCCGCTTTCCCCCTGCCTCCACTTTCCAAGCGGACGAGAAACAAGCGTGCCCGTCCCAGCAGGTGAGGACAGCTGCTGGCCCCATCCCGGACAGCGGCTCCCGGGAGCGGGGAGCTCCGTACGGAGGGGCTGCCCGCGGTGTCCCATGGGATGCCATAGGGGAAGATCAGTCCCCAGACCACCCCCTCGGGTAGGGTCTGCCTTGTCCGGCCCCACGGTGCGCGCCCCCCCCGCGGTACTCACCGTGCGGGACACGGCGGCTGCAGCGCCCGGACCCGCCGGGGCTGCGCGGCGTGTCCCGCCGCCGGGGCGGAGCGCAGCGCAGCGGAACGGCACTGCGGCGCCCCCCTGTGGTCGCCCGCAGCGCTGCGCAGCGCCGAGCTCCGCGGGACGGGGTGGAGCGGCAGCGCCGGCCCTTGCGGCCGGTAGGAAGGGGCAGGACGCGACATGTCGCGACTTGATGGTGGAGCAGGGCCAGGGAAGGGCAATGCAGCTGGTGCAGGGCCTGGAGCACAAGTGTGATGGGGGACGGCTGAGGGACCTGGGGGGTTTAGTCTGGAGAAGAGAAGGTTTAGGGAGACCTTATGGCTCTCTACAAGTGCCTGACAAGAGGATGGAGTGAGGTGGGGTTGGTCTCTTCTCCCAGCTAGTAAGCGATAGGAGAAGAAGAAATGGCTTCAGTCTGCACCAGGAGAGGTTTAGACTGGAGAACAGCGACAGTTTCTTCACTTAAAGGGTGCTCAGGCATTGGAACAGGCTGCCCAGGGCAGTGGTGGAGGCTATCCACCCCTTGAACCGTTTTGAACACTATCCCTGGAAGCGTTCACAAACCCCATAGATGAGGCCCTCGGTGACATGGGTCAGTGGTGGTCTTGGCAGTGCTGGGGAATGGTTGGATTTGATGATCTTAAAGGTCTCTTCCAGCCTTGCTGATTCTATGGTTCTATTCCCCCTGGGCACAGTGCCCAGTGGAAATGCCAGGGGAGTGAGACAGCTTTGGCTAAACAGGTTTTATCAAACAAGCTCCAAAGGTGACCTGGAGCCTGCAGTGGCTGCAGGGTTGAGTAGAATCACAGAACAGTTTGGGTTGGAAGGGGCTTGTAAAGGTCCAACCCCTTGCAATGAGCAGGGACATCTCCAGTCAGATGAGGTTGCCCAGAACTACATTCATCCTGGCCTTGAATGTCTCCAGGGTTGGTGCATCCACCACCCCGCTGGGCAGCCTGCGCCAGTGTTTTACCACCCTCATTGTACAGAATTTTTTCCTCTCATCCAGACTGAATCTCCCCTCTTTTAGTGTAAAACCATCACCTCTCCTCCTATCACAACAGGCCCCAAATCAGGAAGGGATGGACCATAACAGCACTATAACAGCACCAGGGAGTTGTTTGAAACAAGGAGGTGGCCGATGCTCTGCCTCCATCAGCTGAAAGTTCTCCTTTTGGTTGAAGACATGGTGCAGGGGTTACGCTTTGGGTGGGGAGGTGGCTCTGCCACCCAGACACCCTCTGGGAGAGACAGCACCAAAGGAAAGCAAAGCAGGAAGCCTCCCAGTCCAGCCCGATTGCTGGCAGCAAACAAATTATGGGCGAGGTAGAAGTTGTGGGTCAGGTTTGGGGGTGAGTGCAGCTGCCCCTGGAAGCAGGGAACCCTCCCTGGCTCTCTGGGAAAGCTCCTGAGCCTGTGGGGGATCCAGCCCTGGTGTGATTACACTGGAGAGGTGCAAGCGAGAGTGGATGTGCAGAGCCCTGGGCGGGCAGCACCATGTGGAGGGCTTCATGAATGGGGGCAAATTCTCCTTCCACAAGGGGAGCCAGTGCCTGTGGGAGCTGGTGGGTGATGGTGGGTTTCCTCTCTGGGGTCCACAGCGAGCAGTGCTTACCCCCTGCCCCTTTCCTCCTCCCTAGATCTGGCATCCTCATCTCCCTGCAGATGCAGCCCCAGGGCTTGATGCACATCAACCCCTGGCTCAGCTACAGCAGGAGAGGAGATGGCAGGGCCAGAGCATGCGTGCAGGGCTTGGCACCGAAACCACTGCGGTGAGGTGCTGGGGAGCCCTTCAGCCGCCACCACTGAGCATGGGGCCATCAGCAGCCACCAATTGTTCTTGTTTAAGGAAACCCCACAGCTTGGAGCTCAACCAGGCCATGGCCTCCCAGATTTCCCTGTGGTGTGAAGGGTGCAGCAGCACTGGGTCCCCCAGCGAGCCAAGGCAGAAGATGGCACTGCCATCCATGCATCAAAGTGAGTCAGTTCTCAGCGCTCCATCACCATAGATGGCTCCTCTCCTCACCCATATGGGCCAAGTCACATAGAAAATGGGTTGATTTCCACATACTGCAGGTTAAGTCATTTTGATATAACAAACAGGCATCGGTGAGGTATCTTGAGTTTTTATTTCAATCCTACTCCACAGGAAGCAATAGTCATTAGCGTTATCTTCCGTACATTTGTGTTTCCTTGACCCAGTACTGTGTTAACTATAAAAGACTGATCGAACAAGAATGGACAGTGAAAACGTGAGATGCTAAAAAGGCCCCTCGGACCCTCCTCCGCAGACATCCTCAACGTTAGGAGTCATTTAGGATTAGTATAAAACAGGAGGACAATCCCATAACCTGCTCTGTGCTCCCTGCTTTGCAAGGGAAGGATTTAGGAAGCAAGAAAAGAGGGGGGATTTATCAGTTATAGCAAAGCCCACTTGGCAGATCTGGGCTCAAGGCAGCGTGGCGATGTCCCCAATGGAGCCCAGCCACCCATTCCCACCTGGATATCTGCCCTGCCCTGGGTTTTCAGCAGGAGGCTGGGATAAAGTGGCTTCGGAAAGGTCCTTCGGGCACCCCCCTGTGACTCAGGAGCCCCCAGGATGCATTTAGAGCCAGAAGCCCCAATGGCAAAACAGCTTCATCCCTTGGGATGAAGAACGAAATGCAACGGTGGTCCCTGGGCATCCTCAGCCCCTGACTGCTGTGTGCATGGCCTGTTCCCAGTGGGATTTAGTGATGGAAGAGGAGGAGAGCCAGGCACATTGAGCCGCTGTTGTCACCATGCCCCACGGTGATGCTGGGAATCTGGTGTCCCCCCCCCTTGGTTAAAGTTGAAGCACGCGTTTGTAAAGCACTGGTTGTCCTTCAGGTGCTCCACAGGGTCCTCACATGAGCCCTGTGAGGTAGGTTGCTGTCTTCTCCCCCATTTTACAGATGGGGAAACTGAGGCACGGAGAAGGGTAAAGACTTGCCAGGCAGAAAAAAATAGCATCTTCTGTTCTGGGACCTCCTATCCTGCTATTTCAACCCCCAAAATGCTCCACCAACTGCTGGTTACTCACAGCTTATCCTCCACCCTCCATCTGCAGCAGATGATGGAGCAAGGGATTGGACATGGGATCTTGGGACATGCAGCAGCAGAGACTGGGCTCACACTGGGTCATTCATCCCCTGTCCCTTAGGACCACCCATCACCCCAAGGGGTGACCCAGCCCAAAGGCTGATTTGGGGTGCCCTGGGTAGAGACCCCCCAGCAGCCCTATGGCAGAGGCATGCACCTAGAGCCCCTTATAGGAACCTTGTGCCTATGGAAGTGAAAACCCACAGGATTCTTTTGTTGCCCTGGTGACCACAGCCACAGTCAGGAGGGGATGAGCATCTGGATGCTGTCTCTTTGGTCATTTGATGGACGATACAGAGCTGGTCCTGGGATGATGCAGGCTGGGGAGACCTAAGCTCTGTGGGAGACGGAGCAGAGCCTGGAGCTCAGCTCCTTGGCTACCAGAGAAACAGGAGACGTGGGACAGTGGCCATAAATCTCCTTCGTTTGCCCCGTTGTGCCAAGGCTGCTGCAGCCACAATTAATCAAGAGGCCGAAAAGAGCTGATGGGAAATCGATGCCTCCAGGGGCTCCTGAGGACTGTGCAGGCAGGGGTGAGAGCAGCGATGTTGTGCGGGGTCCCAGCACAGACCAGTCCTTAACAGCTCCAGCAGCCTGGGGAGCAGGACCAGTGTGGTTTTCCCATTCCAGCACTATCAGGCTGCTTCTGATGGCTGAATGGGTGCTCCATGTCTTGTTATCGTACCCTGGAAAGCAGCACTGTGGAGCTGTGGTTAGGTGTTTAATAGCCGAGCATCACTAGGACCTCCCCATTCAGCTCACCTCCAAGCATCGCGCAGAGGCATCTTTCCCCTACATCAATTCTGGGAACGCCAGAAATCCTCCCAGGAGCGGAGTTAATGATGATGGGCAATAGGCTCACCACCAGAATGGGAGCAGAAAAGGCAGGCAGCCCCGTGATCCCAATCCAAGGAGGTTTGCTTCCCTCCCTCAAGGAGAACAAAAATCCCCTGATGTGGATGGGCTGACCCCAGCCAGGCGGATGCTGGGATCCGGATCCCCCCTCTGCTCCCTGCTTGAAGGCACAGGCAAGAGCCTGGGAGCGGGGCTGTGCTTTGAATGTGCCACGGCACTGAGATTGGAGAGGAAAACAAAGCACCCCAAGGACAAAACATCCTGGTGGGCTCCCCGGGCCCGTTCGGGGGGGATGTACTGAGTTGTGCACCTAATACTGGCTGAGAGAAAGGGTTCTGCAGTGCTTGGGGACTCTGGGGTGCCCTGGAAGAGGTCCTAGTTTCAATCTCACATAAGGCTTTGTTGTCCCTGGACCTTCCCATAGAGAACCTGTGAGGGAGTGGTTAATGCTGGCATGATTTAGGTCCATTTAGGAGCTGAGCCCGGTTGGAGCAGGGATGCCAATGTGCCCCCTCCCAGGCTGGAGCATCCCAAGGGAAAGGGGCTGTATCTCTCCCCTCATCCCAACTCCTCCAGTCCCTTGGGGGGCCCATGCTAAGGGCTCAGTAGCCAAACCCAGGGTGTCACTATTCAGGGGCAGGTGGGGTCAAGGACCCCATGGGATGCTCAGAGCCAGGCAAGTGAGTGAAGCCCCTCAAGCCCCTGGCACACGGTCATTCATTCCCCTGCCACCAGCAGCCCCTTGGTGGGTCACTGTGTTACAAAACCTGTGCCCAAAATCCAAGCAGTTCCCAAGGTTAAAAGAGGAAAGTCTGTTTAAAATCCACCTCCAGACTCTCCTGGCTGTGCAGGAAGGGCACCAGCACTGCCCATGGGGCTAGTGGGTGGTTTAGGGTGAGCCCGTGGCACAGGCTGTCTCCCTGCTCCCCTTATGCCCCCATGTGCTGGTCTTTAAGGCATCTACCGGGATGTTTTAGCCTCCAGCGTGCCAGGCCGGTAGAGATACCTCCAAATGGCATAGTAGTGGATGCCAGCTCCAATGGCCACAAAGAGGTGCCAGATGGCATGGGCGAAGGGGATGCGGCCGTCGCTCTTGAAGAAGACCATGCCCAGGCAGTAGGAGAATCCACCGGCCACCAGCTCCGGGAGGCCATCCCTGTTGGGCTGGGAGCAAGCAGGGAGATAGGGCTCAGTGATGGCCTTGGCATCCCTGTCCTCCTCTCTGCCTTCTGCTGCACCCTCCCCTCCAGCCAGGCAATGGGGACCCAGCACCCTGGCTTGGCTTGGAAGACTTCAGTGCGATGGAGCCCAGGTAGGAAGTCCAGTGGTGGGGACCCAAAGCACTTACAAAACCAAGCTGGGCCACATCGTATTTGGGGCTGGCTTTATCCACCACAGAACCCTCCGGAGTCCTGCTGGGATATGCCCCTTGCGCTGAACCCGTGTGCTTCCCGGCAGTGGCTTACCATGGAGAGGATGACCAACGCAGGGAAGAAGCCCATGATAACGTAGCACACCAGCTCCACCAGCTTGTACCTGCGACCGACAGAGAAGCTGCTTGGAGGCAAGAGCATTGAGTTTTACACTTGTAAGTGCTATAGGAAAAGGGCTGGAAGTGCCACCTCGGCAGGTCCCGTGTCCTCATGTGTGAGCCACACCACTGCGACGGGGCTGGCACCCTGCTCCGGGGTGATGGACCCTCACCCTGGCTTCGGAGCTGCCAGCTCAGGGCTGGGAGCCTGGGGCTTCGGGGACAGGCATCTGGAGCCTTTTGCTTTCCGTTTGGTGCCACCATGTGGAAGAAGCAGCTCATAGCAGCACGTCCCTGCTCCCGCGTGCCTCTTCCCGCATCCCTCTTCCCACATCCCTCTTCCCGCATCCCTGCCACCAAAGCTCCTAAAGCCAGAATACAGATGGGGAAGGACGTGGTCCGATTCTCCACTTCCAGCTGACCAGAAGACTGCCAGGAACACTGTACCTGTCTGTCTGTCTCCATCCTTCTTGCTCTCCCCTGCATCCTTGGGCATTTATAGGGGCTGGCAGAGCTGGGCTCTGCAATACCCACCAGCACAGAGCCAAGTAACGGCACTCACCGCTCATGGAAGAAGAAAACATAGACGGTGCCAACAGATGCCATGATCCAGATGATCCAGCGCATGTGGGAAGCCCAGGGACCCAACTCCCTCAGGTTCAGCCTGCAAGACCCAAGTGGTGGTGAGGATCTAGGGCAGAGAGGTGCCCCATGGCTATCCCATCAAAGGTCTTCCCAGCTTGCAACTTCAACTTAAAGGGCTTGCAATCTATAAGATAAGCTTTTGAGGAAAGGGGTGGGGTACAGCCCCGAGCAGAGTCAAAGCCACAGAGGGAAGCCCTATCTGTTGGAGCTGTTGTGATTTTCTCCCATCCGGGGGGAGGGCAAGTGATGGCCCCCACTCCCCAGCAACTCACCAGGGAGCATATGATGCTGCGATGAAGAAGTAGATCACCATCCTGTCAAACATGTGCAAGCAGTGCTCCACCGTCCTGTGGGATGGACAGAGACAGACAGGTCACAGCCTGCAGCACCATGGGCCTCTGGACCCCTTCCCCCTTCTCCTGAACCCCCAGCAATCAGGGCTGGTACCTGAGATGCCTCTTCTTCCAGGAGATGGTGTGGAAGATGGTGGAGACAATGAAGAGGCTGGACAAGCCACAGCCATAGATCCAGGCTGAGATAGTTTCCCACTGGTCATCAGAGAGGATGTAGAGGATGGAGCTGCCAAGGATGCTGGGCAGGATCCAGAACTGGAAAGGAGAAGCAAATCTTTGCTGACTCTCTGCATTTCCATCTAGCAGCTACAGTACAGTCTCTGATTTGCCTTTTAGGTGTTCCTTTTGCTCCTGGTCAAAGCCACCACCCATGAGGGGCAGGCTTTTTCCCCTCTATTTTGGTGCAGCTCCAAAACAGCTTCTCCAGGTGAAGATGAGGAGGAGGAAGGCACAAGGAGGATGGCTACCCCCGAGTCATCCCCCAGGACTCAGAGTGGGAGCTGCCAGCTCCTAAGGGAAACCCTGATGTGGGGACCGCTTGTGTAGGCAGCCCCATGGGGCTCCTGTCACCATCCCTGCTGTGAAAACCACTCTGTTTTCATGGAGCTCTGCAAAATACTCCTGCTCCACTAAGCCCACGGCAGCCAGCTTCCCTGGGGGCATGGTGAGTGAGAGCAAGGGACATGCACATCAGCTTCCCAGGGCAGAAGGAGGGAGAGCATCCCATTGCTCAGCATCCATCTGCTTCACCACAGCCCTGAGACCCGCAGCAGCAGGGCTGAGCATAAGCATTTCTAGGAGTTCCTTGAAGTTCCTCAGAGGATCCATGGGGAGCTGAGCACCATCCCACCTAGCCCTGGGGTGGGGACAGGGACTCACTGCATGGGTGGCACAGTTGGCTGCGTGCTCGTACTCCGTCGGCTGGTACCTGCAGTTGGATGGGACACGGTGATTCATGAACCTGCAGCGAGAAGCATGGAGAGGAACTCACTCAGAGGATGGGGTTTGGAGGAATCACGAAATGGTTTGGATTGGAAAGGACCTTAAGATCATCCAGTTCCAACCTCCTGCCATGGGCAGGGACACCTCACACTAAACCATGGCACTCAAGGCTCTGCCCAACCTGGCCTTAAACACCACCAGGGATGGGGCATTCACAGCTTCCCTGGCCAACCCATTCCAGTGCCTCACCACCCTCACAGTAAAGAATTTCCTCCTTATATCCAATCTAAACTTTCCCTGTTTCAGTTCAAACCCATTACCCCTTGCCCTATCTCTACAGTCCCTGATGAAGAGTCCCTCTCCAGCATCCTTGAATCCCCATGTTGCCTTTGGTTTCTGGGTACCACCTGCAGCTATCTCCTACTCACACATCCCAGCACAGATTACTGCAGGGAAAACCCCACCATCCTCCCTTGGAAACCTATAGCTTTATTTCCGTTTCTCTTAGTCTGAGGTATCAGCTTGCTCCTGGTGTTCAGAGGAACATATCGATTTCCTCTTGTCAGATCAACACACAGGGATAAAATATAGTGTCTGGCTTGGCCAGTCCATTGCTAGGTAGGTGCAGCTGCATTAAGAGGCAAATTAAATATGCATCTGTGGTAACAGGTCAGAGCAAAGCCTCACTCAGCACCTTCTTCTGGCAGGGGCCAGAAGTGGAGGCTTTGCAGAAGGGAATAAGAACCAGGCAAACAGGGAGTGATCCTTCCCTGCCTGATCTGGTAATCAGGGGGTTAAAGACTTTGCTGCTGCACCTCCGGACCTGGACTAATTGCTTTATGACCCTGTTTGCTTCCACTTCTGGCACCATCTGTGGTGGGGCTCACAGCTGAGCTGTGCCCAGCAAGGGGGCTCGGGGGCTGGCAGGACCTTGCTGCTGGGCACAGGGTGATGCAGGGCATTGGGGAAGGCAGGAAAGGTCCCCTCTCCGCATCCCTGAGCCACCCGCATCCATACAGACTCTTCTGGCTTCTCCTTGCTCAGCGCCACTGAATGAGCTGCTCACTGCTGCCTATTAAAAGTGAGCCAGGCTGGATTAAATAGCTCAAATTACATGGATTTGAGGCCAGGGGGAGTGTGGCCACAACAGACCCAGGCCAGGGAACCTGTCCCCAGCCCCTGCCCTGCCTGCTGCCAGACCTTGGTACCATGGGAAGATGGGTGGTGATCCATAAACTATGGATTAAGAGGAGAAAGCAGAGGGGCTAAGCTCCCACTGCGCTGCAGTGGAGGACCCACACTGGGTAAATCAGCACTTATCAGGACTGGGCATCCCTCGGGATGTGCTTGTGCCCGGCGCGCTGTCACATCCATCCACGGGACACCAGGGATGCCCCCCTCATCCCGACGCTCCCACCACAAGGAATGGCCAGGCTGGAGCCGTGTCCTCTGGCAGGAGGACATTGCTGTCCCCTGCGTTGCCAGGAGACTGTCCCCAGCTCCCCTCTGCTTTCTGCTTCCCTTTCTTTTCCCTTCCCATAATAAGGCGGCGGGCAGGGGAAGGCCAGACATCCCGCGTGACATCGGTTGCTGAGGAAACGCCTCCGAGGCCTTTTCCTTGGATTTATTTGTTTTAACAAAGCCCTGCACCGTCTCCCCTCTGTTCTGAGCTCTTCAGAGCAGTAACAAGGAGCAGAGGCAGGGCTGGTTCCCACAGCCCCTTCCTACAGGGCTGAGGGACATCCAGACCCTTTGGAAAGGGATCCCTGGGGTGCAGATATCCTCCCTGTCTCTGGTGCAGGGATGGAGAGGCCAGGAAGGGCCACCCCAGCCATTCCCATGGGATGAGGTCAGACAGAATGTGTGTCCCTGAAGCCCAAAGCCGTGCTGGTGCAGCACACTGCAAGCATCTGCGTTTCCCAGAGGGAGAAATACCCTTGAGGAGGGACTTCTTTTTGACCTGCTCTTGTTTCCTTGCCCTGCTTTCTAATAAGCATCATCCTGTGAAAGATGGGAAACGGAGCATCACAGAGGTGGGACCTGGCTGCACAGTGCTGGGCCAGCCTGGCTGCAGCAGCTCCTCCTGGAGCACCCAGGGTTGTATTTTAGGGGTAGTTGGACACAATTTCATGGTCCTCTGTGCTCAGGAGCGGAGCTGTGCAAACAAACATGGGAGCAGCCGACGTTTGCACATCTTCTGGCAGGGCAGGACGAGTCCTTCTGCAGCACCTTGCTCCCCAGGGGTGCAGAGGGCATTCCCTCACCTTCTCTTCTCTCCTTTATCTGTCTCCCAGACCATCCTGGGATGCTAAGCATCCATCCAGCTCACGCCATCCCTGCGATGGCAGAGCATGGGGAGCCCTGCAGCGTTCCCAGCCTGCAGAAAGTTGCTGTAGTGGTGCACCAAACCAGCCTCAAATCTGAACCTGGACAGAGACACGCTTGGAAAGGGCACCTGCGACTCTCATTAGAGCTGATGAAAGCCCAGAGAGGTTGGAGGCTGCTCTGTGTTTCCCAGCCCCAGCTCTATGCAACTGGGATCAGGAGAAAGGGAATTGCTGCAGCCAGGCAGAGCTCTGGGGTTTTTCAATGCAATAATATGAGAAACACCTCTCCAAACTTAGCTCTGATCCCTGCAGGAAGACTCCTGCCCGGCTGGCTCAATCCACAGCCATCGCCTGCTCCATGTCATTGCATCCGTAGGGTTGGGGATACCCTGGCTGTATCCCTGGGTGGGAGGAGATGAGGGAGATGTGTTCATAACAGCATCCAGCCTACACTGCCTGGGCAAAGCCACAGTGTCAGACCCCACTTGGAGCACCGGGTACAGGTCCTGTGTCCTCAACATAAGAAGGACATGGAACTGTTGGAACAAGTCCAGAGGAGGCCACGAGGATGATCAGGGACTGGAGCACCTCCTGTGTGAAGATAGGCTGAGAGAGTTGGGGCTGTTCAGCCTGGAGAAGAGAAGGCTGCGTGGAGACCTCAGAGCAGCCTTCCAGTATCTGAAGGGGGCTACAAGGATGCTGGAGAAGGACTCTTTATCAAGGGCTGTAGTAATAGGACAAGGGGTGTTGGGTTCAAACTGAAACAGGGGAAGTTTAGATTGGGTATAAGGAGGAAATTCTTTCCTGTTAGGGTGGTGAGCCACTGGAATGGGTTGCCCAGGGAGGTTGTGAATGCTCCATCCCTGGCAGTGTTCAAGGCCAGGTTGGACAGAGCCTTGGGTGCCATGGTTTAGTGTGAGGTGTCCCTGCCCATGGCAGGGGGTTGGAACTGGATGATCTTAAGGTCCTTTCCAACCCAAACTCTTCTATGATTCTATGTCATGGCTCATTCAACACTGCAGGTCTGGGAAGCTGCAGACAGGCGATTACACCTTGGCTGGATGCTTCAATGCATTTTAGCAGATGCTTTAGGATTGCAAAGTCCAAAAGACACAAACCTTTCACACCTCTTGCACAGCAGGAGCAGGGGCATGGTCATTCTCAGGGATGCCACATGGGAAGCAGAGACCCGAGGGGCTCCCAGGCACCTTTTACTCCCAGTGCTGCTCCTGGCAGATGCTATACAGACCATCTATATGAAGATAGGGGGGCTGGTGGGGGTCCAAGCAGGGATTATTCATGCAGCCCCAGGGTTTTCCCCTGCCCTGCTTGTCCTGCTTCCCCCTGGCCCCTTTCCCAGGGAGGGAGACTGAAAAGGGCCAGTGCAGCAGGCTCCGGCCAGGGGAACAAAGAGCCCCTTGTCGCAGGCAGCCAGGGCAAAGTGCAGAGCCAGCTTCCCAGGCTTGTTCCTTTCTCCTTCTCTTTCTCCCACTCTGTTTTTTTGTGGTTCTGGGAGCATTTGCTAAGTTTTATAAGGACTTTTATCCAAGAACAAAGTTCTGACCTCGAAAATCACTCCTGCTTTGCCAGGGTAAGGGAGAAGAAGGTAAAATGGGGATTAAGGTATTCCTCAGGAGGGCTCATGTGTGAGCATTTGAACACCAAGACAACCTCCATCAGCCACTCCAGGGGCACCACACGCTCACACAGGCAGAGCCATGGGACACTTTGCAGAGCTGTGCCCTACACACACAAGGTGGGAACAGCCCTGATGGAGACCCAGGCTGGGATGTGATTCAGGAGAGATGGGGTTTAGCTCTGCCTTCAGTCCTGACCCTCTGGCTGGCCTCTGCCACATCACTTCCTTTCCCTTTCCCTGCCTTTATCCCTCTCTGAGTGAGGATAATAATTTGTCATCCTTCAGGTGAGCTGGTGGATGGATAGCATAAAGAGGGTGCAAAATAAAGGAAATATAGCTCAGGTATTGGTATATATTAAATATACCCATACATCTACACATAGTATGTGTATATATATGCACACGTGTATATATATGTACATACACACATGATACGGACAGGCAGGCATGAGCTGGGGTGCCATTGAGCAGCTCATCCCTGCCTTTGGAAAAAGCCAGTCCCACAATGACATTCCCAGCCCTGCTCTAAACCAGGCTTTATACATGACACGTGGCTGTGCATCTATGTGTTGAGGAGCTAGGCTCCCCCTGAACATTGCCATGGCTGCCACACTTGAAGAGCCAACACATCCCCTTCACAACCCATGAAGCACTAAATGTGCATATCCTACAGTGCTCCCAGGTGATGTGAATCTCCCCAGAGCAGCTAATATCTACAAGTTTCACCTGCAAATAGCTTATAAAAGGGCTGGGTTTGCTAAGGAGCTGGTTTAATGTCTTAGGTTAGAGGTTGGATGCTGGTTTGCTTTGTATCTATCTTCTTGTCCCAGGGATCTGTGTTCCTATGGGGCAGCTCCTGGGGATTTGACTGCAAAGAGAGGGGATTTCTCCTTCTCTTTGTGACTGGTATCTTAACTGCTTTTAGGGTAATGGAAGTGGATTGTATTTTCATGGTGGCATCTTAGAGAGGAAGGACGGAGAAAGCATTTGCTGGATGCTGACCGGCAGCAGTGGTAAGTCCTGCTGGGACCCTTTGGGTTGCCCCTTGGTAGAGCAAGTGTTGTGATGCCTGAGGTGACATCAGTGGATTAGATGTGTCCCTGTAGGGCAGGCTGGCCCCAGACCCCTCTCAGTGCATGGTCTGGATTTGCCCTAATGGGCCCAGAGGCTGCACACCCAGTGCTTGGTCCTCACATTTGTGCTTCCATGCGAGCTGCGGTGGTGGCATCCCTGTAAGCTGGGGCTTGGCATGTGCTCTGCTTCTGACCTGTAATCTGGTAATTCTGCAGCCCCTGGTAAGAGGCTTCATCCCCCTGAGCTCCTCTGTGGCTTGTAATTAGCTCAGGCCTGGGGAGCTCTGTGTGATGATGCAGCGCAGGGCCCTCCATGCTGCTTACGTATGGGATGCAATCGCTGGATCCAAGAGACAGAGCAGGACCACAGGGATCTAGTCAGGGCCTCATCAGGTCCAGGCCATAGATTTTGTCACTTGGTAACATGGCAAAGGCTTCAGCTCCCAGTGCAGAGCCCTCAGACCCTGCAGTACCACAAAGCTGCCTTACCCAGCCCAAGAGCACTTGAGAAATCCTGGTTTTTCCTTCTTACCCATTAACATGGGAACGTTTGCCTCTGGAAGCAGAAATGCTCAGGCTGATGCTGCCCAGCATCACCATCTGCAGAGCCACCCACATGGGCATGTGCAGCACCCCATTAAGAGCTGAAACCTCTGTTTCCATCCCTGCTCTTCAGTGCTTACATGCTCCTACACGAACATATGGTGCTCCTGTTTTGGAAAGCTGAGCTGTGTGCTGTTAAGCTTGCAGGTCAGCTCCCTGGTGAGGGGAGGAGGGGCAGATGGGGCAAGCCTGCTCCATAGGCTACTCCTTTGACTCCAGCTCATCCCGTATGGGAAGAGGCAGGAGGGCTGATGAAGCAAAACAGTGCAGTGTTTTCTGTTGTGCTGCTTCTTGGCATAGTGTAAAGAGCTGGCAGCTTGGGTAGGGAGCAGGAAATGAAAGGCTTTTTATTTAAACCAGCATTTCTCAGCCTTTCTTAGGGGTAAAGTAGCAGATCACCAGATTCCTGGAGTAACCTGCCCAGATGGATGCCCCCAGTGTGAGCCTTGCTTCCAGAAACAGGCTGCAGATTGAGTCATCATTCATCACCTCTGATTACCCTCATCCCAGTTTTGCTTGTTCCCAGCACTCTGACATGTGGTAACACCCTGGGCTGGCTGCAGACCATCCCCTGGCACTGCAGAGCCTGTGTGCCATGAGAAACGATGAACAAGTCTGCTTGCCAGCTTAGAGATGCTCCCAGACAGGGACCATGTGCTCAGCCCTGTCCGTGCTGTACCTGGCTCTGAACTGCAGGCACAGATGAAGGGACAGAGAATACACTCCCCTGGCACATCCTGCTGCTGCAGGAGTGGATATATGAGGGGCTGAGACTGGCAGGAAGACAATGTGCTGCTATTTCCCTGAACACACTGAGGCTGTATCTAAATCCTGTTCTTTGCTCCTCATCCTAGCAGAGACAAACATGGGAGGCTCCAATCCAGATGCAGGCATAGACCATTTCTGCACCCGTGAGAGCCCCTATATATCCATAGGCCTTGGCTGGTAAGTGGAAACTCAGCAGGTAATTCCCAGCATGGTCATAACTGTCTGTATTCCCATTCTCTGTGCAGGGGTATTTCTCTTTCTCTCCAGCAGGCTTCCTGCTCTTTATGTAGATGGTATCTCCAGCTATTCCAAGACAAATCATGACCCTGAAGCTGCAGCAGAGCTGTTTATTCACAACAGATGGGATTGGTGAGTGTTTCCCAAATTACTTTCTGAGCTGGGACTTCTTGTTTCACTTGGTACTCGTGAGACAACAATAGCTGATTAGTCACAATGACTCCGATGTCCCAGGTGCCTTGTGAATGTGAGGAGGGCTGATTCCTGAGCTGAAGATTCTCTGTTATTCACTATTTGCTTGTTTGGAAAGTTGTTCCTTGCTGCCTTGCCTGCATTGCCCTGAACGCAGAAGGTAGTGGAACAAATCCTGAGCTGGTTCTGCCTGCTTAAACTCCACAACAGCCCAAGGAGGGTAAGTGAAGAGTTTGAGGTCTGGAGCCTCCCCAGCCTCTGACCCTGCCTGTCTCTGTGACTGAAATGACATGGGCAGGGCATTGTTTCTCAGGTCCATAAGGTTTCCCCATAACCTGAGACAGGCTCTTATTTGGGATTCCTGGATGATGCTCATGTACAAATGATATCTGTATTACTCAGCAAATGCCTCTGGACCACAAAGGCACAGAAGGAGAATAATGAATTCCACCAGCCAAGCAAGCAGATACCAGCATTTCCATTAGTGTTTGCGACAGTGCAGGTTGTTGTCTAGTGCTGCAGTACCAGAGTGTGCTGCTTAATACAGTGCTCCTTGCCCCTGACCTGCCCATCTCTCTCTGCTTCAAATCCCTTTTCCCCAGCAGCAAGCCTGGGCTCTAAACTGGAACAGACATGGATCTGAACTCTTCCAAAGGTCAGCACTGCTTGGCTCAACTAATAGGCATCTGAAGTAAACATCTAGGAATATGATGCTTGTGTTATCACGTTATGAGAAGTTGCCAGTGGATCACATAGAGCTCATCAGGCTCTGCATCTTCACTGCATAAAAGCATTGAGGTTCAATTACATCTGGACAACCCCAAAGGGAGAGCTCTGGTGTTTGGTCACGTCTCTGCCTCACTCAGCCCCTGCTCTGAGCATTCATCCCCTCACAGCATCTCTCTGGGTACTCAACCAATCTCCTTTTGCAGCCAAGCACCTCGTAAGAGCAATGAACTGAAATAAGTCCTGTTCTTTTCCCTTCCTTCCTGTAGGAGTTGTAGCTGGTTTGCATTGCTTTGTCTTCCTGTGGAGCAGTGTGGGAAGGGAGGAGGGAAGAGGAAGGCAAGCCTCGGAGCAGCCCTGGGAGATCCCTGTTTCTTGTGTTCAGTGACCTGCCATGCTGGGAAGTGGCTTGAATTTCCCATGCATAGCGTTGGCTGCCACCCCATGAAGCTGGCCATAGGAAGCTGGCCAAAGAATCACATCAGGCTGATATCCAACACCAGCTGAAGGAGGGAGGAAACCATGGGGCATGTGTTTCCCAGGCACCCAAGAGACCTTCCTTCCCGCACAAGGGCAAGGCACAGGGCTTGGCTTGCCCACTCCAGTGCAATGATTCCCCACCTGAGCTTGTCCTGCTGGCCCTCCAAAAGGAGGGAATGGGGCATTTTGAGGGACTATCCCATTGCAAATGGGGTTTTGAGTACTTGTTGCCTTCTAAGTACCTGGATCCAATAACTGCACCCTGGGTGCAGACATAAGATGAATCCTACCAGTGCCATCTCAAGAGGGTATCTGAGTCAGCCTGATGCAACAGAGCAACCAATATGGAATTGGCCGGTGACACTGGATGATGCTGGGGATTCTGGGGGTCTCCCCATCTCTTGGAGCAGTGCCTTTTGCAGCAAGGGGATCTGTTCAGCTGGGGCAAGCTAGCAGATCTCATTGGGGATGGTGCTCGCACGGTGAGGAACCCCTGCCTCTTGAGCATCTCTGAGCTGCAATACCTACACTGAAAGCATTTCCCTTCTCGCTGCTTCATCCCACGCTGGCTGTGGGGGAAGCAGAGCTCTTGGAAAGCATCTCAATATGTGTGGGAGCAGGCGAGGGCTGCTTGCGCTTTCATTGCAAACGGGGACCAGATCTTCCCAATGCGATAGCTGTGTTCAGGCTGGCAGCCTGGCATTGTTTTCATCATGTCTGGGGGCTGAGCACCCCAATGTTTTCTCTCTCTCCTATTCCTACTGGTGGTTCTCTTCCTCTCTTGCCCAGAGATGCTGGAGAAGGAGTCAGCAAATATCTCCTTGCTCAGTAATTGCAGGTGCAGAGAGCAAGAAGGGAGGTTTTCCCAGCTGTATTTCTCCAGACTCAGAGGCAGGGGGGTTGGACCTGGATGATTTTAAGATCCTTTCCCACCCAAACCATTCTATGATTTCCTTGTGAGCAAGTGTAGCGTCCAGATCTCCCATCCCCTTGTGCTGGTGAGGAGGTAGCGGTGTCTACATTGCAGACACCAGGCAGGTGAAGACGAGCCTGGACCGTGCACCTATTGAGGCCCCCTTTTCCCCTAACCTCCTTCTTCTGTGCTGAGAAATTAATGTGGATTTTCCTGGCTGTTCCTCTCTGTGTTACTCTGCACAGACAAGCAGACGCAATAAGATGTAGAGCTTTTTACATTAACAAATCCAATCGTGAACTGCTATCAGTTTATTAGGATGATTCAGTGCCCTGCACAGCCTGCAGCTCCAGAGCCGCTGAAGCTGGCCAGACACAGCAGCATCCCACTTAATCATGTTTCCTTTCAATGATGGCTTTGGAGGGCTGAACTCTGGGAAGCATTCTGTGTCCCTGAAGGGAGATTTGGGCTGAGCTGCAGCCCCACAGAAGGTATGCAGGGAGGAGGCACTGGTCCCTATCTGTGGACCAAAGTGGAGTCAAAGCTGGTGGTGAGTGGAGGGAGGGATCAGTGTAACCTGGCCGATGTGTTTAAGTGATGAAGATGCCACTTGCACTGATCTGCTGCTTGGGGGGGAGGAAGCCAACACCACGTTGGTGAGCTGGGAGGAAGAGAGGAAAGGGTGGAGGGAGAGTAGGGGAATGACAGCCTGGTGGTGGGGTAAGCAGGAGGAATCGCATCTGCTTGCACCCTGTCACCGCATGCTGCTGCTGGCGTCACGGCTGAATTTGGCCTGTCGGCAGGAGATGACTATCATTGCCACGGCGCAGGCTGTGAGCGACAGGGGAAGCCTTGCAGCAACTGTGCTTCTCAGCTCCCTTTCCCCATGGTGGCAGGTAATGGAGGAGCCTCCTGCACCCCACAGCAGAGCAGAAACCACAGGGCCTCGTTTACAACCATGACCTGCTCGAGCAGCATTGCCACGCATCCCCTGTTCCCACCACGGTGCCAGCGCCTTCCCTTTGCCACAGCCACAATCCTCTCTCTCTGAAGCCCAGCTGGGAAGGATTTGGGGACTCCTCAGTGCTCCTCCAGCCCTGAGTTTTCTCCTGGCTCCAACATCCTCTCTTCTCCTGAACGCTCTCACATTGATTCCTGCCTTTCATCTCTTTGTTCAAAGCCCGGTGCCTTCGTTGCAGCTTGCACACAACAGGTCTTCCATCAAACACGCTGTGTTTTATTTATTCCTGTTGGCAGGTATCTCGATGTCCAAGTTTCCTTTCTTGCTCCTCACTCAAAATTAGATAAAACTGTGCTAAAAATGAAGCTCTTCCAGACTTTTCCACCACAATGAAAACTTTCTGCCTTTATTTTTCCTTAAGGAAGGCCACAGGCAAAAGCTTCTCCAGGATGCTTCTGATGCCTTGAAGGGACTGTGCCACTGCGAGCCTTGTGGCTCCTGCTCACCCCAATCCCCATCTGGTGTGTGTGGAGTGAGGGGGGGAACAGGGATTAGCCAACTGTTATTTTTAAGCACTAGGCTAAGAGGATCTCTGAGGTGATGGAGGAAGCATCATGTGCTGCCGACTGCCTTGGGGTGAAATCCAAGGGAGCACTCATCTCCTTCTGCTGCCCATCCAGCCCTGGTACCTTGTGGGAGATGAAGGATGCTCTGTGGACCGAATCCTTCCTGTGTCCCACAGCCCCTGCCCTGCATGTGGGCTCTCTGTAACACCTCATCCCCATTTAACAAGTCATCTCCAGAAAGGACCACAACAAGCTTTCATTTTGGACAAATCCAGCAACAGGTTGCAGATGGATTCTGCCTGGGGGGACTGAGGTAGGGAAGCAGCCCCTTTCTGCTGTCTAACCCTGAAAGAACCTCTGCACTACTGCTGTGGGCAAAGGCATGGTTGTCCTCATGCTTTGGGGGGGGTACAGCCTTTAGCCTGGCTCCATCTTCCCATGGTGCTGTCCTCCACATGCCAGCAGGGAGAAAAGGGTTTGAATTCTCTGTTTTCACAACTGGATGATGTGCAGAAGGTACCTCCTGCGTCTCCCCACAGCAGAAGTGGTTAGGAAGCAGCTGTAGGATCAAAATGGGGTTTGAGCACAGTTTTCGGAAGTGCAAGCATGGATTGTCCATATGGGACACCTGGAAGGAGAGGAACTGGTGGCTTAGGGGGTGGAAGGGAGGTCTCCTGCTCTTACCCAGCCCAGCATCCTTCAGAGATGCTCCTGCCTGGAGCAAGCAAGAAACACCATTGCTGCTTCTTTCCATTCGAGTTTCCCTCTGGTATCTGCCTCTAACAGGACCACTGGGATTCTGGTGATGGCAGCAGCTGAACTCAGTGTCCCCAGGAGCTGCATGAGCCTGTGGGACCCTCTGCAGCCATGAAAACATCCCCAACGCAGTCAGAGGGAGCTGGGAGCAAAGCATGTCCTCAGTGCAAACCCGAGTACCCCCAGCGCCACGCTGAGCCCCATCTGGCTGCGCAGCACACAGCACTGCACGATCCAGCTCATCCTTGGCCACCCGCTGTGCTGGAGGTCTGTGGGTGACTGATGTCCCTACATCACCCACCAGCTCCCTCCTAAAGGCCACATCTGATCCCCCAGCAGCGTGCATGGCCGAGTGCCCTCTGACCCGTGCTTAGCAGTCCTCAGGTTTCCCCCTACACAGGTAATGCCGTGAGGTTTCTCAGCGCTCCTGGGCTTTTCAGACCAGTCCCTGCTGCTGGAAAACCTCACCAGGTATTTCACGGAGCAGGGAGAAGGATCTACCACCGGTGCACTGCATTGGAGCCCCCAGGTCTACCCCGAGGGGGCTTCTCGGGTGATGCAGGACCCTGGGCAACCCTGGTCCTTCCATAGAGGGTCTGTCCCCAGGGTCCTGGTCCCCCAGCAGCGGGAGAGCAACAGCGAAGTTAGACCCAGCGAAAGGCAGCGACAGCTCTCAAGGATGCTCAGAATCCCTTAGGGATGCAGAACAGCAGGTACCTTTCTCCCAGAAGAGCATCCCGCACCTGCCCTGTGCTTTGGGGCTCTCAGCAGCTTTTGAAGGTCCTTTTGGGCTCCGTCCCCCGCTGGAACCGAGCTCGGGCAAGGGGGCTGGGGCTGTCCTGGGGCTCCGCAAGCACCCGGGGGTCGGGGACCGCCGCACCGACGGCTTTACCTGGCGTAGCGCGTCTTCTGGAAATCCAGGAGCCGGGACACGAACATCGCGGCGGTGCCATGGGGGGTCCCGGCGGCCGGGAAGAGCCGCCCGAGGGGGGAACCGAACCAACTCCGCCGCGGGGCGAGCGGGAGAAGGGGCGGCCGGTCTGGTCCAGCCCGGCCCCGGCCCCCTCCCGATTCCCCCCGGCTGCTCGGGAGAGCGACTCGGGGAAAACAAAGGCGACCTCCGGGAGGGGGGAGCCAGCCCCGCTGCCGCCCTCGGATGTGCAAAGAGGAGGAGGCGGCAGCGGGGGGGGGGGGATCCCGTCCAACTCTGCCCGACCACAGCAACCTGCCCGCTCTCCCTCAGCCGCCACGGCAGCTTTAAGCACAGCTAAAAATACTCCCCCCTCCCCGCCGCCAACCCCCGGCGGATCAAATAGCAGCAGATTTGAATTGAAAATGTGATTAAAGCATCGCAGAGCTGGGGGGGGAGGAAGCGGCGAGTGCGGGCAAGCAGCCCCCCCTCCATCCCTTCCATGGCTGGGTCCCCCGGGATGGGTACCAAGACATCGCTTGCCTGCCCCAGGGCAGGGCTCCCCAGGGAGCTGGTTGGGTCGGCTTGGCTTTTCTTGATTTGATTTTAATTGGTTTTGTGTTTTCTCTATTATTTTCCAGAGGCCCCGGCAGGGTGGGTGGTTCTGTCCCAGCCCCATCGCTGTGGGGTGTCCATGGGTGGGGATGCAATTCCCTGCTTAGGAGAAGGGGGGCAAAGCAAGGCAAGGGCTGAAGAGCCCAGAATCCTCACCCCATCTCTACCCTAAGCCTTCACTGCTCCACCCTCTCCATCACCCAGGGAGGCTTTCAAAGCAGGTGATGTCCCAACATACATCTGAGGTTGGGCAGCTTAGAAAGGGGATTCAA